CGGCCTGTGCTCTTGCAGGAATGACAGGTGCCCAGGCTGACACCGAGGCGGGTCCGGACACGGGAGAAGACAACATGGCTCAGGAAAGTGCGCCGATCTCGAGCGAGGAAGACATCCCGGGCATCGACACACTTCCCCCGCTCACAGGCCAGTACGGTACAGCCCAGTTACAGGATCCCACCTTGACAAATGCCCTGAGAAATGTGCAGGTGTTAGAGGAAGTAGTGCTAGGGGATCGGACAAACCCTACCTATCCACATTTTGCAGTAAGTCAGGGGTTAGTCTACCAGGTGGTAAAGAAAAATGATGAAGTGCATGAACAGCTCCTCGTACCACAGTCCTATCGAGCCACCGTACTTCACTTAGCACACACGCACCCACTAGGGGCCCACCTAGGGGTCGAGAAAACTAAGGAGAGAATCCTGCAACGCTTCTTTTGGCCCGGAGTACACAAGAGATTGAGAATTTCTGTCGTAGTTGCCCAGAATGTCAGCAAGTGGCACCAAAGCCCACATACAGAAATCCGCTCATCCCATTACCAATTATCGACACTCCTTTTGAGAGGATTGGACTGGACATAGTAGGGCCCTTACCAAAAAGTGCCAGAGGGCATCAGTATATTTTGGTCATCCTGGACTATGCAACCCGATATCCTGAGGCCATCCCGCTGAGGAAGGCTACGGCCCGACACATCGCCAACGAGCTGTTTCTCCTCTCAACCAGTCTTGGAACCCAAAGGAGATATTGACCGACCAAGGGACTCCGTTTATGTCCAGGGTGATGAAGGAACTCTGTGCGCTACTGAAGATCAAACAACTAAGAACCTCAGTCTACCACCCCCAGACGGATGGATTAGTAGAACGGTTTAACAAAACTCTAAAGTCCATGCTACGTAAGGCCGTTGGGGAAGATGGGCGCAACTGGGATCACCTGCTGCCGTACCTGCTGTTTGCGGTGAGAGAGGTGCCGCAGTCTTCTACTGGTTTTTCACCCTTTGAGCTCTTGCTTTCTTACAGACCCAGAGGACTGCTGGACATTGCAAAGGAGGCCTGGGAGGAGCAGCCATGCCAACAGCGGACCCTGATTGAGCATGTCGGGGCCATGAGGGAGAGAATGAAGGCCATCTATCCCATGATGCGGGAACACATGGAGACCACGCAACGGCAACAGCAAGCCTCCTACAACCGGTCGGCTCAACCCAGAGAGTTCAAGCCGGGTGACAAAGTGCTGGTCCTGGTGCCAACCGTGGAGTGTAAATTCCTGGCAACTTGGCAAGGACCATATGAGGTCATTGAACGGGTGGGAGAGGTCAATTACAAGGTAAGGCAACCGGGAAAAAGAAACGTGAGCAAATTTATCATGTTAACCTCTTAAAGAAGTGGCACGCCAGGGAGGCGCTATTCAGTTGCCCAACACCCACGGAGTCCAAGGAACCAGGGCGAGAAGAGGTGCAGGTGGGTCCCAGCCTGTCCCCCATCAACGGCAGATGGCTCGGGAACTAGTGGACCGTAACCGGGATGTTTTCTCCTCTCTTCCCGGGCACACGGAAGTGACCCAGCACGAGATACGCACCGTGCCAGGCAAAACGGTGAACCAGCGCCCGTACCGGGTGCCGGAGGCTCATAAGGGGGCCATTCAGGAGGAGGTAAGGAAGATGTTGGAGTTGGGCGTGATCGAGGAATCTCAAAGTGCCTGGGCAAGTCCCATTGTACTGGTTCCCAAACCGGACGGGTCAATACGGTTTTGCAACGATTTTCGGAAGTTGAATGAAGTATCTGAATTTGACGCATACCAATGCCTCGTGTCGATGATCTGGTAGACTCCTTGGGATGTGCTCGCTTCATAACCACGCTTGACCTCACAAAAGGCTACTAGCAGGTTCCCCTGACGCCGGCGTCTAAGGAGAAGACTGCCTTTGCGACACAGGAGGGGCTCTACCAGTATACCCGGCTCCCCTTTGGTCTCCACGGAGCACCGGCCACGTTCCAGCGATTGATGGATCGGGTCCTTGCTCCCCATAAGAGGTACGCGGCAGCATATTGGATGATGTGGTCATACACAGTCCCGATTGGGACAGTCACCTACCCAGAGTACAAGCTGTGATTGATTCAATCCGAGATGCAGGGCTCACAGCAAACCCCAAGAAGTGCAGGCTGGCTTTCAGCGAGACAAACTACCTGGGGTACACCATTGGGAGGGGTTTGGTCAAGCCCCAGGAAGCCAAGTTGCGGGCCATACAGGACTGGCCACAGCCCATCACCAAGAAACAGGTGAGGACATTTTTAGGCCTAGCCGGCTACTACCGACGTTTATTATGGGTTTTGCCACCATAGCAGCCCCTCTAACAGAACTGACCACCAAACGGCACTCCCGAATGGTGAGGTGGAACCCTGCGGCGGAGGCGGCCTTCAGCCACCTGAAGCGGGCTCTGTGCTCCGGTCCAGTCCTGGTGGCACCAGACTTCCGGAAGGAATTCATCGTAGAGGCGGACGCTTCAGAGGTGGGTCTGGGTGCGGTACTCGCCCAGACACGTGAGGGGGAGGAACACCCAATCCTCTACATAAGCAGGAAGTTACTTCCAAGGGAGAAGAACTATTCCACAGTGGAAAAGGAATGCCTCGCAGTTACCTGGGCCCTGGAATCCCTACGGTTCTACCTCCTGGGCCGACAGTTTACGGTGGTGTCGGATCATGCCCCTCTGCAGTGGATGGCCAAGAACAAGGAAACAAACCGTAGGATCACTAGGTGGTTCTTGAGCTTACAAGCCTTTAATTTTCTGTTGTCCACAGGGCGGGCAAGAGCCACAGCAACGCGGATGCACTCTCCAGACGGGACGCCTTCTACACCTCCTACACATCGACGAGGACGTCGGTCTCGAGGGGGGGGATGTGTGATGTCACGAGAGGCTTGGTCTTGGAAGGGAGATACGTTCACCGGCGATGGCTCTAACTATGGCTCCATCTGCTGGTGCCCCGAAACTCAGAGCATTCCCCTCACACCTGAGACCCATCAGGGTGTGACGACCCGGAGGCCTTCATAAAGGTGGAAGACACACCGTTGGAGAGAGACGAGCTGAGAAGAGCAGACCAAGCCATAAGGATTCGAGGAGGCAGGAGAGACCGGGAGGACGGTGTTGTTTTCCTTACAGAAGTGGATTTCCGTTAAGTTAAGTTCGGCAAAGATTGACCGAAGCCTGAGTTACCCCCTGTTTTGACTGTTTTCTGTTGAACCTGAAGGACGGAAATTAAAACCTTTTGTTATATTTTGAACCCGGTGTCCTCGCACTATTTTGAACTACCCCGGAGAGAGCGGCGGCGCCTCTCGTGACATCACAACATATATATATACACATATATACACACACGTATATACACACATATATATACACATATATACACACACATATATATATATACACATACATATATATACACATACATATATACACACACATATATATATATATACACACACATATATATATACACACACATATATGTATATATATATACACATACACATACATACATATATATATATAGAGAGCGAGAGAGAGATGCATTGATGTGCTTTTTAACAGCATTAAGTCCAAACGTTAACATTTAAGAAATCTTCAGCTCCTTTCTGGCTTGAGGGCTATGGCTTTTCAGCTTTCTACCTCTTAAGCTTGAATTTATATAAATCAATAATCATTAATATTTTAACATGGTTTTCCAATGGAGATCGTTTTTCAAATCCTCTTAAACTTCTTCAACTTTCAGATTCTTCAGCTTCGCCAATCTTTCAGCTACAGAACCCATTTCAACTTTCAAATGTTGACAAGTCTCAACTATTTTCTGAAACCGCTTGTTGATATCTATTCTACTTTTTTCATAATCACTGATCATGTTTCACTAGTTCTTCGCTCCGTTTCTGACTTTTATATGAGTGTGTATTGCTTCTGCTAGAGTGAGACCCGGAGATCTTAGAGTGTGGGGCAGCGTCAGAATCTGGTTAAAAAAATATGGAACTTCTGTCCTTGCAGCCAAAGTAGTTACTCTAGAGGCTTCGTTTCTTCAGATTAATGAGGGCATGGTTTTGCTGATTGGATTAATGTGTTCATGGAATCCTAGAGTTCTTTAGTTTTGGCTTAAGGAGTGTTAGAGTGACACAACCTCTGCCAAAAGCCCCATAGGCTCCAATACAAATCTGCCGACATATTTCTCAAAAAATCCAGAAGGTACATGTTTTGTCAACTGCGATAGGAGGCGTATTTATTACCGGACAGACATAAAAAAAACCTCCCTGCGTTCGGTAGAGTCTTGGGTCTCGCACAAGCGTCTTATTTTTTAGATAGCGGTTATTGTTTCGCGCTGGTGGTCATTTGTTTGAGGTGTGGATTCTGTGTAACTCGCTGTCTTGTGTCTGCCCTTTGCAGCAGCTCGTTAATGAGCCCAGGTGCGCCGTTGCCATTGTTACTCGCACACATGCTGCAGGATCTCTGTCTGTGACTCACAGCTGCTCCTATTACCTGATTAGTGGAGTCACATGACGCAGCTATGCTTTCTGTCAACAGACCAATATGATAAAGACACTCGCGCCCCCTCCCCCCTCCACCCTGACCTCTACTCACTGATAATCACTCACTCAGTCAGTCTGTCTGTCTATTTCTCCTCCTCTCTATCTCTCTATCTCATCCTTACCACCCCTCCCTTCCTCACCCTCTCACCCTCCCTCTCTCTCTCTATCTACACCCCCCCACCCCACCCAATCCAATAATTTCAAAATAAAAGCCCCATGGAGGGAATTTTTACTGTAATGTTTGTGATGAGGCCTATTAATTAAAAACTTCTTAGTTTGAATAACAGACATTCTGTCTCCCAACCCCCCCCTCACCCAATTCCATCATTACAAAATAAAAGCCTCAATGATTATCTGCACCTTAACCATGAAGCTCATAATGAAGCGGTTTCGTTGAAATACGTATCGCTCTTTCAAATACTACTACAACCACTACGAATATTACTAGTACTCCAACTGATACTTCTACTACCATACTACTAGTATTTATACTGCTATTAATACTACAACTACTACTAATGTTATTACAAATACTACTATGGCTAATAGTATTAGTATTACAGCTGTTTCTGCTGTTACTGCTATTGATACTAAACCTACTTCTACAGCTAGTACTACTAATACCACAATTACAACTATAACTAATACTACTACTAATATTAGTACAAACAATTTTAAACATTTTTATTCATCTCAGCTTTTGTTATTTCTGTACTTTTTAAAATTCATTTAAGCTCCTGCAACTTCTGTATTTTTTAGAAAATCTATTGAAATTCAGCTTCCCCACTTCCTGTATTTTCAGCTTTTCTTATGCCTCTATTAACAGCAATGTTTTAATATTCATCTCGGTATTTTTTTGCAATATTTCACATTCATTTCAGCTGTTTTCATTTCTGTTTTTTTAGTAAATCTATTGAAATTCCTTTCAGCTTCTCTCATTTCTGTATTTTCAGCAATTTGAAATTAATTTCAGCTTTTCTAGTATCTGTAATTACAGCAGATGTATTCAAATTCCCTTCAACTTTCTGTATTTTCAGCTATTTTAAATATTAATTTCAGCTTTCAGCTTTTTGCTTTCCAACGCATTTTCAGCAGGAAATGCATTTTCTAGTTAAACCTCTTCTTAAGAAACCTACTCTTGCTCCAGAGGTGTTGGATAACTACAGACCTATCTCTAATCTTCCCTTAAGATCCTTGAGAAATCAGTTATGTGACTTTCTACAAAACAATGCTTTGTTTGCGGATTTCCAGTCAGGATTCCGAGTGCATCATAGAACAAAAACAGCACTGGTGAAAATTACGAATGATCTTCTACTTGCATGGAACGAAGGACTCATCTGTTTTCTTGTTTTGCTGGAACTCTGTGCCGCATTTAATACCATAGACCATTGTATCCTGTTGCAGAGACTAGAACATTGGATTGGTATCAAAGGAACTGCACTCAGCTGGTTCAAAACTTTAACAAGAACTAAGAAAAGGGATCATGTTACTCCTGTATTAACTTCTCTGCACGGGCTCCCTGTTAATCAAGAATTTAAGGTACTTCTCCTCACCTACAAGGCACTTGCTGGTGAGGCACCGTTTTATCTTAAAGCGTTTGTAACACTGCATTGCCCTACAAGGCAGCTGCGCTCTATAGATGCTGTGTTACTTGTTGTTTCCTAGGGTTTAAAAAGTAGGATGGGAGCCAGAGCCTTCAGTTATCAAGCTCCTCTTTTGTGGAACCAGCTTCCACTTTCAGTCCGGTTTGCTTAGAGCTAGGGCTGGCTCAGGTTAGCCCAGACCAGCCCTTAGTTAAGCTGCTGTAGGCTTAGACTCCCAGGGGACTTCTTTGGACACACCGAGCTCCTCTCTCACGCTCTCTTTCTACAATAATCCACGTTTTATTAATGCACATCACTAATTCAGCTTCTTTCCAGGAGTTTTTTGTGCTTTCTCCCCTAGCAGGTCTCCGTAGATCGTAGTTCCTTCTGGACCCTGGTCCTGACACCTGCCGTGGCCCTGCTGACGCTGCTGCTGCCATCATCATCATCATTATTATTTTAAATAATGATCATATTACTGTAATCATAAACCAACATTACACTCTCCTAAAGTCTTTGCGCTTTCCCTCCCCACAGGCTTCTGTGGATGGTGGTTCTATCTGATGGAAGTTGTCCCTGCAGTGGTCCTGCTGTGCGCTGGCTTGCTACTCACAATTATTTTAATCATTTCTGTCATAGGAATTGAATGTATTATACATCTTTTACATTGTTCATTCTGTACACATGCCATCCATTGTAGTCTGTCCATCCCAGGAGTGGGATCCCTCCTCTGACGTTCTCCCTAAGGTTTCTTCCCTTTTTTCCCCGTGGAAGGGTTTTTCATTTTTCGGGGAGTTTTTCCATATGTGGGTTTAGGGACAGAGGATATCGTGTGTGTACAGACTGTAAATCCCTCTGAGGCAAATTTGTTATTACTATACAAAATAAAATGAATTGAATTTTCTCTGTGTTGCTGTCAGGTGTCATTTCATTCTTCACTCATCCATGGTTGTCATCAACTCCCTTTTTCACCACCAGTGTCTGGACTCCAGAGGGGGATTCTGCCAATTCTGCCCTTGATTACCCCGGTTTAGGATGTGCACTATTTCAATATTATACATGTGTAATAACTGTTTGTCAATTCGGACCCAGTCTCTCCTGATTGAACTGTGCGCATTGGGTGCTGCAGACATTTTTCTGATCTGTGCCTTGACCCAATTCTATCTCAGAGTCTACAGACTGTGCTGAGAATATGTATGTACGTACAACAGTCATATCCCCACAGTCCCTATATGGCCATATGATAATATTCCCCCAGTCCACCTCCCCTCTCTACCTTTCTTCCATGAGACTTTGTCAACTATTTGACCAAAAAAACAGCTGACATACACTCTTCCTCAACCCCCTCTATTACTTCTGTTCCACAGACGTCTCGCCCTCGCTTCCCTCTTTCACCCCCGTCTCCTAAGTACTCACCTTAGTAACCTCTGCCCGTCCGACCACCTGCCCCACCACCCCTGTTTTTCCAACTCTCTGAAGCATGCAAGAGTTAACCCACTCCTGAAGAAACCCAACCTAAACCCTGAACCCTCTGAAATCAATCCACACTGCTAGAGCCGCCTATCTCTCCTCTGCCTGCATACATCTGGACCTTTCTGCTGCATTTGACACATTAAACCACCAGGGGCCTCATTTATAAAACCTTGCGTAGGATTTGCGCCAAAAGTGGCGTACGGATGAAACATAGGACGCACGCACGTCCTACGCAGTTTTCCCTTAATAAATCACAATCACTTCTAAATGCAGCGCAGCTTTTGCGGCTTCATGTCACGCCCATAATTGTCCATATACAGTCTGTGGAACGCCCACAAATGAATATTCATCGATTGCAAAATCATGACAAACACAGAGGAAAACGAAGAAACGTAACTTCACTCAGTGTGAAGTCGAAATTATCATTGGCGAGGGGGGAAGGAGAAGTAAAATACGTTTGGAGGGCACAATATGGGCCAAATGCCAAAAAGGCACTCGAGTGGCAAAAAGTTGCAGAGGACGTGAACGCTGCAGCCTCACAACCTCGTATCGTGGCCGAAATAAAGAAAAAATGGTCTGACATCAAAGTGGATGCAAAAAAGCGTTTAGCGCGTCATCGTCAAAGTGTGTCTGCCACGGGTGGGAAAGGGAACACCGGAGCTGTCCCCTCTTGATGAGAGACTGGCGGAAATGATTGGGGATGGGGGACAGGGTCTGGGCCAACATCGGCGTCAGGGGGGTCGAGGCACGTTTGGAAGCTGTGCCGCATTATGTAGCACAGCACATGCCAGCACGATTCCATACACTTTTTCAGGAGTAGAAAATAACCGTGCAGTCGAGGCAGCGCCATCTGCACAGCAAAAATTGGAGTGTTGAAACTTCAGGGTTAAAAATTTCCGAGTTGATTTTCACTCCCAGAGTGTAATTTTAACACATTCTGATTTAAATGGTGTTCAGTGTTGGAGTTATTTGGCAGAGTTGATCATGTCAGTGTTAACCCAACTCCACAGAGATGTAATTAAGCTCCGCCCATGCCTTTCACTTCTTCGGTTAGAGACAGAGAAGACAAGTCTGCGCCATTTTCTACCTCTCATGCAGTACTACACGGTAAGTGCAATTAAGTTAAACTCACTGAAACAATTAAAAATTGATGCTGAGAATTTCAGTATGAACAATTAAATATCTACAGAGAATATATGCCTTACACAGCCGTGTTTGTTGCCAGGACTGAACAGTACATTTGTCCTCGTGGTTAGCTAGCTAGTTAGCAGTGTACGGTAAGCTAGCTAACAGTTTGTTACTAAAACTATCTCCAACTTTATCAATAATGATTTAACAATTCATAGGCATGCTCAAAGCTAGGAAATACAAAGCATTATGATTTTTAACTATATAAAATCTTGTTTGAGGCTGGAGCTAACGTTTTTTTTTCCTCTTTGAAGATCAAAGGGACCGCAAAAAACGTGTCCCAACATGCAGACGGTGTTTCAGTGTCTAGTTCACGTGTCTAGCTATCCATCAGATTCTATGACCTGCAGTGTTGGAAAAAGTACTCATTTACTTAAGTAAAAGTATGTAAGTATTACCATTACTATAATTACCAAATTAACGCTAAAGTACAAAATTAGCAGAAAATTGGGGTGTGACTGATATATATGAAATACATTTAAGTGCATCATTGAATACTTTATTTTATTATTATTTTTTTAATTTACTTTGTCAAACTTCATTGCATGTCTCAGTCAAAATGCTGGTCCAGATGAAGTACAGCCAACAGCAGAAGTATGTAAAGTTGGATGAGGATGAAGGACTGTTTGACTTTCTGCAATTCCATGAAAAAGGTTAGTATGGCTTACAAAAAAGGTCTTAAACCACATCCATGTTCTTTTTAAAGCTCTTTACATGCCTTTATCAGACTCTTATACTGTAAATGGGTGTAAATTGCTAAACATTTTCAGTTCTGCAATGTGTGCTTCATGTAAGTGTAAAGTGTCAAGTGTAAAGTATAATATACACCAAAACAGTCCAGAAAAAAAGGCAATCATCAATTTTTAAATTTGGACTTGGAAGGGAATGGGTTTTGTGAGGGACAAATGCTCTATGTCTATTTAATGATTATACAGTCTTGGATGTATGTATTTAACATGAACAGTTATTGGCTGTGAGGCAAGAAACAGTGCGGACTTCAAAAGCACATTCAGTTTGACCTTATCTATTCCAGCCATGGAGAGATTTGGCCTGCCACCTGATGCAAATGTTATATACAAGGATGCAACAGGGACAGAAGTTGATGCAGAAATATTCAGCGACCTCGTTGGACAAGGCAATGTGGTCCTGACAGTTTTCTCAGATCAGGGTGAGATATCAAGGCAGGTATAATAAAGCACTCTACACCTTAGTATATCATTTAATAATTTAAATGTTCTCTATTGCTTTAGAATTCTCTGATTTCTCCTTGTCTTCTGAGACGTCTGACTCAAGCTTCAGCTCAAGTGCATCAACTATAATCCTAGATGTTCCGAACAAGAGACAAAGAATTGAGGATACACGTGATGCTGTGTCTGCTAAACAGGTTGCTTAATGCTTTCACATTTTTTCACTCTGAGTCACTAGAAAAGCTGTTTATCACTATGTTTTGTATTCTCATGTTTTTGTTTTTTATTAGTTGATAGAAGCTGTGCCAAGAGGCAAGTCCGGAGGTGAAGAAGTACTACAGGAGTACCAAACAACAGAAACCCTAACAGATGCTGCAAGAAGACAAATGGTTAATATCCTGGTGGCTCACATGATTGACAATCATGGGTATGTTTGTTTCACATTGTTTTTGTTTGTGTCAAATAAATGCATGACCATTGCATAAATGTACTAATTTACTAATTTAATATCTCCTCTCAGGCACTGCCCCACTAAAACAATCAGAGAAGATTATGCACGTGGGATAGTGATGCTGTTCCCTTCCCTTAAGGATCCATACTCCAAGAAGGGCTATGTAATAGGCATTATTATTGTTTAAACTTCCATGTCATGTTGTGACCCAAAACTGTGTGGATGACATTGATATTTGAATTCCGTGAGATTTCTCATGAGCCTGGTATTACAACACATTTCTTTTTTCATTTCAGGAACACTTCTATGATGCTGCAAGCAGCACAGGATACATTTCTTGGCGTCTGAAAACAGTCCAGAGGAAGATTCGTCAAGGATCTGCACAGCCACCAAAAAGCCCAATTGACTTTTCTCCAGGAGGCCCAAATTGCCAAAGGACTGTTGATGTTGAAGGGCAGCTTGATGGTGATGCTTGCCAAGAGGCCATGTCTTTGCTTAACCATACAGCAGACAATTCCCTGATTTTCCAGAAGATGATAGAGACCTTTCAGCATCGTCAGAAGCTTGTTAATGACCCAGGCAGAAGTGTTGATATACTCTCCAGCTTCCCAAGATTTCTGGATACAAAAGGATTGGTAAGTTTGGGATGAGATGTTTGGAATGGCTTGAAATTTGAAAGTATTTCCAGTAGTAGTCGTAGTTGTTGTTGTTTAATATCTTCTTTCCTAAAGGTGGACCAAGACTTCACTCTCCTATTTGACGAAGACACATCATCCAGGCTTCTTCAGAAATGGGATTTGTTCTTCAAGCCAAATGTCATTAAAGAGGCTAAGCGGCTCACCTCAACACCAGAGTTGCGTCGCTTGGTGCAGTCAGCAGAAAGTCCCCCAGGAAGTGATCTTGATGATCATTCTTCTTGATTATTCTTGTCTCTAATGTTCAGTTTTCTGATCTCAACCATAGTCATGCTGCAGTTTGGAGGAGCATCTCCGCAACCAGCAGGGTCGGCAGCCGTACCTCCTCGCTGTTGGGCGTCAGAAGAGCAAGATTGACAGCTTCTACATCACCATGGATAAGCGTCTCATCCCATGCAAGGCAAACTGCTCCCTCGGGGCATGTGATGAACTTTTCAAAGCACATTTTGTGTTTAATTTGTCTTACGATGTGGCACTTTTTATACATTCCTGCAGACAACAGTGTATAACATTGATGTGGGGAAAATGAAGGAGTCACCCAGAGTTAAAGACTTGAGAGCAAGACTGCTTAACCAGCCAGTAGCATTCTCACCCTGTGAGTAAGAAGCTATAACAATGCTGACCTGTTTCATGTGTCAGAAAAATTATCCCAGCAGTCAGCAGTTGATTTCACATTTAAGAGTTGAACATGGTTACTATCCTGGACCCAAGTTCAAATTGTTTTGTTCTCAGCAAGGCTGTAGGCATCAGTTTCTAACATATGCAGGTTTTCGAAAGCACCTTAATAGTGTTCATAGCATTTTTCAGCAAACTCAAACTTCAACTGTTGCATGTTCATCTAGTGAGCCAGTTGCAACTTCATCTCAGGCACATACTTTGGAGGACCAATTTATTCCACAAAATCAATGTAGTTCTTCCAGTATTTCTTCTGAGGCCAATGATTCAGGACTTACTAAAGATCCAACTAAAGAAATGTGTGCATCCATCGTGGCCAAATTACAGGGGAGTGGGATATCCAACAGTTTGGTATCCTCAATTGTAGGAGATTTGGAAGAACTAACGAGTGAACTTCGCTCACAAGCAAAGCATACAGCTATTTCTGCTTTACCTATAACTGACCCCAACATATCTGTGATAAATGAATCTTTTGAAGATTATGAAAATACGTTTTCAAATCTGAATACAGAATGGAAACGAAATAAATACTTCCAAAAATGGGGAGTTGTTGAGCCAGTAGAAATAACACTGGGAGTGAGAAATGACAACAGGCGAAATCAGAAATCCGGTACTTATGATCAAGTACCTGTGAAGGATACTTTTATCTATGTGCCAATTTTAGAAACATTGAAGTTCATGTGCAGAAATCCAGACATTTGTGTTTTGCTAAAGAAGGAGTATAGATCAGAGCCTGACACTTATACTGACTTTTTTGATGGAAGTTATTTTAAAACCCACCCTTTGTTTACAGCTAATAAACATGCATTGCAAATTCAACTATACTATGACGATTTTGAAACAGCCAATCCCCTTGGCTCCAAACGTGGAATACACAAAATTGGCTGTCTTTATTTTGTTGTAAGAAATTTGCCCCCAAAATTTAATTCGGTTTTGATGAACATTCATTTGGTATCACTTTTTCACACACAAGATCTGCGCAAGTATGGTTTTGATGTTATACTAGAACCGTTGATAAATGATGTGAAAAAACTAGAAAGCCAAGGGCTAAGTCTTCCATTTGTAGATGAGCAGGTATATGGTACAATCTGTCAGATTACTGGAGATAATCTAGGGATGCACACAATTCTTGGTTTTAATGAGTCATTTAGTAGCCGTCATTTCTGTCGCCTTTGTTTGATTGAGAAGAATGATTGTCAAACGGTATACAGTGAGGATGATCCTAAAGTGATCCTTCGTGGAAAAGATATGTTTGATATGCATTGCCAGTCTCTCCAGGAAAACCCACAATTTAAGTCACTTTATGGTTTGAAAAAAAGATCTGCACTTAATTCATTGAAGTATTTCCATGTTTGCAATAACTATTCATTTGATATCATGCATGATCTTCTTGAGGGTGTGGTTCAGTATGAGATCAAATTGCTTTTTGGATATCTCACACAACACTTTATGTCAGAACAAGACTTGCTTTCCAGGATTTATGGTTTTGATTATGGATTTTTAGAACGAAAAAATCGTCCTACAAAGATTATTTTGGAGAGTGCTGGCAATGGCATTGGTTTGAATTCTATTCAGACATTGTGTCTTGTGAAAAACATCCCACTGTTGTTTGGTGAAATTATTCCTGCAGGAAACAAAAACTGGAATTTGTTACTGTTGTTACTTCAAATAATGAACATAGTTTTTTCACCTTCTCTCACTCTAGGTATGACAATATATTTAAAGCATTTGATTGTTGACCACCAGAAACTATTTAAGCACTTGTATCCACATAGAAACTTGATACCTAAGCATCATTTTATGATCCATTACCCATCTTCTATAAGGAAAATTGGCCCCTTATTATATACGTGGTGTATGAGGTTTGAGGCCAAACACAAGCTGTTTAAAGATTCTTTAAAAAATTTCAAAAACATAACCAAATCGCTTGCTATAAAGCATCAGATGGCCATTGCTTATCACTGGGAAACCTTCACCCTCAAAAAAAATGAGTATGGGCCCATTAAATCTTTTCTCTTCAGAGATGAGAATGTGGTCAACAATGAAATGCTTGAAACAATCTTGTCAAAAGATGTTTTCTCAACTAGTTGGGTTAAAGTTGATGGTGTAGAGTATAAAGCTGGACTAGTTATTTGCAGTGCAATGGAAGAAGACATGCCAGTCTTTTGTCAAATAAGTGATGTACTTTTGGTTGAAGATCACTTATTTTTTTTGACAAACAAGCTATTTACAGAGAATTTTGATGACCATCATCATGCATTCAGAGTATTACGAAGTGCGGAAAGATGTTTACTAAAAATGTCTGAGCTTAAATTTCAAAAACCGTTTGATATTCAAAGCTCATACAATGTTTCGGATGAAAGTTTGTACATTATACCTTCATTCACAATGTTTTAATTCAACTGACTGCAAGGGAGAAAAGGAATAAATATTTTTGAAAATGTTTTTGTTTATTGTGATGAATTCTTATTAATAGAAGTATATATTTAATTAATGCATTTAAAATTAATTTTAACATTTTTTCAGTGTAGATAATTGACACATTAGGGAGTGTAATTAACACTACCAAAATAGTTAAAAAAAATTAACTCGGAGCAGTGTTAGTTGTCTAATCCCTCAGTGTTATTTTAACACTGTTTTGTGAGTTAATAAAGGAACTCTGGTAGAGTGTTAAATGTTTAACTATTTTGAAAGTGTTAATTTAACTCTGGAGAGTGTGGAGCTATATAAACTCTCAAAAAGTGTTGAAATCAACTCTGTGGGAGTTAATTCAACACTGGACTTTTTGCTGTGTGCCCTTAAACAGGCCGATGGTGCGCTGCACTACAGCGCGAATCCTTCCATTTGCCACATCTTCTAAGAGCGCAAGATCAGCCATTTCGCGTCATTACGCATTGTGATGGCATCATGGCATTTTATTACCGTCTATTTGATTGCATCTGACAAGAAACCGCTGTGTTTTGAGGATGAATTGCATAACATGCCAATATTATTGTAGAACATATTTCACTTTTCTTTTTGAAAATCTGTTAATTAGTATTTGTTTGTTTTACGCTGCCGATCAATCAAACGGGTGTTCGTGTTATTTATGAGAGGCAGTATTGGCATTTCTTGTACACAACAGTCTAGTTTTACACACTTTACACATGTTTGCGTGTTTCTTGCATTTGCCGACAGTTCTTATTTCACCCGTTTTTGTGAGTACGCATGGGTCCGAGCTTGCGGAAGGACCGCACATTTTTCCGTCAAGTTTGCTTTTTCTAAATACCAATTATTGCGTAGAGAGCGGCGTACGCCTTCTTTTGTGCGTACGCAACGTTTATAAATGAGGCCCCAGATCCTTATTTCCTCCCTTCAGGAACTTGGTGTCTCAGGCTCTGCTCTCTCCCTTCTCTCATCCTACCTCGATGGCCGCACCTACCGGGTAACCTGGAGAGGATCTGTGTCGGATCTTATGGTACATTCACATCAAAAGCGAAGCGAATTATTTGCGCGAGTAGATTCCATGTTAAGTCAATGCACAGACGCGTCTGGTCGCGAATGAGTCGAATTTTAAACAGGCGGCCTAATTGAGGGGAAAGACGTGGCGCGTGGGATGCGAAAAAGCGCAAAGAGCGACGCGAATAAATCACTCTTTCAAAGTTGAAAACTTTGGGCGAAAAATTCGCCCGACGCTGTCTAGCGAAATCCAATCAGCGTTCAGATGCCACAGCATGAATAAACGTTATTAAACGGCCGCTCACCGGAGACACACACAGCTGATACTGAACGCCTATAAGTTAGTTTGTGTGTAACCGAGAGACGCACCGATCCGACACAAGAGGTCATCAGACCGGCTGCTGGTCCGCCATTATCAAAACGAAGAATGTTTACGAGAGAACGGATCAGATTTAAGAACTTTTGTCGGAAGAAATGCGTAAATATGACCGCTTATACAAGCCGTCATTGGCGGGTTGTATTCACTGAGGGAGATCGCCGCAAACGCCGGTTTGCCGGTCGAGAGGTGCGCAAAGTTGTGGAGGAAAATACGGGACAAATGTGTCCGCGATGAAAAGCAGCAGTGGCGATGCACGGGGCAATAAAGTCTATGATAAATAAACAAACAAATAAATAGACGTGACTCTCTAGGTCGTCTTCAACAAAAACACGTTACTCCGCCTGTTGTTCTGGCGGTGAATTGCTCTGCAACACACGCAGAACCATGAATTGAAACGAGTGCGTTGACGCAACGACGCAGACGCAAACGCAGAAGCATGCGCCAGCCTTAACAATACAATCCCGTAGATACACGCTCTTTAACATAAGGAGAATACATCCCCGTCTCACTCAGAAGTACTGATTCAGGCTCTTGTCATCTCCCGCCTTGACTATTGTAACTCTCTTCCGTACCATGCTGTGAATGAATCGGGTCCAGTCTACATCCAGGACATGGTCAAACCCTACATCCCAACCCGCACACACCGCTCTGCATCGGCCAAACAGCTTGTCAACCCTCAGTTATAGTAAAATAACCTACATTTTAATCAATTCCTTTACACACCTTGATCTTGGTTGCTTACGAGGGTCTGCAAAGCCATTGCAGCTTCGACCTTTACTGGCATCTCTTTATCGTCGATCAGATCCTGTCTCACCAATTCAACGGCATTCCTGAGCACCAGCTCATCATGGAAACGCAGCGGGCTGAAGCAGTGGAGCACCCAGCACGACTGGCAAGAAACGGCAAAGAACCCATTTATGTTTAATGTCAGCAGTGTGTGTGTATGTGTGCAGGTTTAATGGAATATCTTTCTGTCTGCAATATACTATAAAGGTTAGCCTTGCAAAGGGGAATGAGAGGGCACACTCACCCTGGCTCGCAGGTAACCCATAGGAGAGTTGAGCAACGGGAAGACATAGTTTTGCAGCATCAGTTCCATCTGCTCCCTGTACATCCGCTTCTATATGATGAGAAATGCACAAACAAAACATCAGAGAGATGATTAAAATACAAGAGAGGCAACAAGAGCATTTAAGAACTTAAAATCTCTTGGCTCCAGCCAATGTTTTTCAGGGAAAGAAAGTCACACAGGGATATCTGTAGATGTGCATACCTTCAATAAAAGATCAGCCAGAGCTCCAATGCAGTGCAGAGCACCATCCTTCTTGCGAGGGTCAGGAGATGGATCCACCAGTATCTGGTGGCAGAACTCCATCATCTGAGGAAGAACCTGCCCAGAGAAAAATGCAAAGCTTAAATATAGAAAACAGTGATGCTGAAATGAAATCTAATTGTAAAATGTCAGACAAAGTTGAAAATGTTCTGCATGATGCCATGGTGTTTGACAGTAGCAAAACATATTTTTCCCACTTGCACAATGTAATTAGCTGCAATCATATTGACTCAATCGGTTGTTGGTATCGATCGCCTTTTTATTTTAAGGCTAAAATAATACTAAAATAGTATCTAGTAATTAGAAGACCAATTGATATATAGAACTAATATGCTTCCAGTAAAAAATGTAATCTTAATGTGCCTTAGAATAGGCCTACAATAAACTGCATCACAAATATTGTAAGGCAATTATGTATTTCTTTAATTAAATGGTGCCAAAGAATTACCAAGAATACAACAGCATTTTGCTTGCTATTTTTGTACCAGCTGTGTTCGTTGTACAAAAAACCAACTAGACAGAGGTGTGCATAGCTGGATTAGAGGAACATGCTCAATCATTACCATTATGAAGGTTGGTTGAAGAAGAGTAGAATAGAAGAGTGATGCTGTGTTCGAACAGATAAACTAGTGAATTAGGGCGGTTTTAAATAAAATGTAGCTGAATATTCACTAAAGTAAAGATTGGCAAAAAGCAAGGACTTACAAAAACAAAATAGAGTGAATATCTTTGCTGTGCTTTATAAGTCAAATTATTGACCGAACAGTCATCAGGCAAATATATTGGACTAAAAGTATAAAGTCTGAAAAGATGGATTAAACCATGCCTAGCCGATGCCTACAAACTATGAAGTATTGCCATAGGTGATGGTCCACCTCACCTGCTTCCTCTTGCGAGCAGCTTTATAGAGGACGCCCTGGGCAGCTGTGGCTGGTAGGGCTTGGTCATCATAGAGGTCTGCAACAGAGACAAAACATCACTATGGTGTTGAAAAACAATGCAGACATTTCTTCACCACCACTGTGTACAATGGCAGTGATGCAGCAGTTCTGTCAGGAAGACTAACCTGATACTACTTTTCATTCATAATCCATAAATCTCTCTCTCTCTGTAATTACTTTATCACCTGATTGTTGGTGTTTACTTGAAATTAGGGCTGTCAAAGTTAAAGCGTTAATCTATGAAATTATTGAGGCCGAGATTGATGCAATAAAATATTTTAGCGCAGGTAATGAAACTTTGTTTACTTCCGGTGTGCATTGACCACTGATAATAAACTGACGCATGCCGCAGTCAGTTAGATTGGAGAGACCGAGACAGCTTTTTGCATTGAAAGTAAAAACAGTGGCGCGACATGCATCGGAGAACTGTGCAGAAGAATTCTGTGACGTGTCCAACAGAAGGAGGATGAGTTGAAATTGGACCACTATAAGCACTGAAAGTGCCTGTAACATGTTGGTAGCTGCTAGGCTACTTCCATCTCAACATGGCCACCACTGTGTCCCCAAAAGACAGTGGTTTGGGAAACGTTGTGGCTAAATGTCGGGACATTGTCGGCACTTCAAACAAGTCAAATAATGGAGAGTTGAGAGCACGGCAAACTGCAAGAGGAGAGCAGGAAGAGTACCTAGTTCAACGTGTTGCATGCGGTGGAATTCTGCCTTGGAGATTATCAAATGTGTGTATCTATTGACAGCTCTACTTTAAATTAAGCAATCTGATCTGCACAATTTATTCAAACCAATCGCAACTTTAAAAACGTTCTCCTCTCTGCTGCTGTCAGTTGTTATTTCAGCACAATGGGATGTGACCTTTCTCCACCAGTCAGCATCACAGTCGTGCTCCTCATCCATCAGAGAATTGTAGCATCATCATCATCTCCAACTCCAGTGTCTGGGGGATAAGACCTTATTTGACCTCAGCTTCACTACCCCTGGGATATCCTCATTCAGGATGAAGTCTCATCGGCAAAAACTTTGCACTGTTCATATGTTATGCTTTTTCTTTGCTGGCAGATATGGTGTGTTATTGATTAAGCAACCAATACTGACCCAAGTAATTAATGGTGTGTACTTACTGAACTTCATGCGGATATACTCATAAGGGTCTTCCTGCCAAAGCTTCTCATCCTCATCTTTGTAACACATGAGAGGGAAGATGACCTCCTGGCATATGGTCTGTAAAGATGATCAATAAAAAGGAAACACATGTGACAGTCTAAAGTCCACCTTCCAGAAAGTGAAGAGAATTAAAACAAGTTTGATTAGGTGTAGTTAAAAAAATGCAGAACATGAAATAACAATTTTGAGGTAACTTTTCCCCTTTATGTACCCTCAGAAACAAACCATTTCAATGCCGAAAGGCATCCTGTGGAGAATTGGACCACCATTACTGCAATGGAGCAATGACCAGATGATCAAATACAAACACATGCTCAAAATGAATACTGACATTCTGATTTCTGGTTTCCTTCATACAATCGACAGTATAGCAACATAGCACCACGGGCCGAAGACCGCAAGCCAGTAAACGTCAATGTTAATAATGCACTAAAGGATTTATTCAAGCAATAAAGAATTGCCAAAAAAAGGTTTGGTTCAATTCATTTTAGGCATTTTGATGTCTGCCAAAACATAATCTCATCATCAAATATACATTATTATAATTAACATCTTTGTTTATTCTAATTATTAATAATTGTAAACATCAATTAGCTTGAACTTAACCAAAACCCAAATTTCAATGCGCTCTAGTATGTTAATGGAGATTCAAACTTCCCTTGTCAGTTTTGAATTGTTCCAGATTCTAAGATGTAGCCAATGAAACTCTCGAGCTAGCCAAACTAAGTAGAAGTTAAATTTGAAAAATCCATTGTCCTTTTCCATGATGTAAGAAGACACATTATTCACAATATTCTGCAATTTTCACACAAAATGACTGATGTATTTACAGCTTAACTGACTAAGTTTAACCCCGGGTTCTCTCGGATATCCAGATGTGTGTTTATATTACATTTGTATGCACCATGTTGCACAGTGGTAGAACAGTGTCGAATGAGTACGAGTGAGTAAGAATGAGTATTCAGGGTCCTGAAGGTCCCTAGCTCCTGTCAATCATGTATAAATGGAGGTGAATTGGTCAAGGTGGCCCCGCTGATGGCAGTCTTGGTACTGGGCTGTCTTGTACGCTTCTTTGTTTTGTTATTTGTCTCATCTCCCCCTCTGATCACATTCAGCAGAGAGGGACTTTTAAACATCAGACAACATAAAGACTCACACGTTAAAGAGGAGGTCTACAGAGGGAGGGGGCAGGGTCGTTTACAACCAGGCTGCGTGAAGTTACCTCATGCTTCAAATGCTCCACCATCATCCCGGTCCCCAAGAAATCCTCCATCACAGGATTAAATGACTACAGGCCTGTCACCCTGACATCTGTGTTCATGAGAGGCTGGTGTTCACCCACCTGAACATTATCACAGGGCCCGGGTGGAGCCACCCGCAGATTGCCTAACAAGCAAACCGGTCGGTGGATGATGGAGTTAACTTGGGACTGCACCAAATGCTGCATCAACTCAACTCATCCAGGACATATCCACGGGTTCTCTTCAGCCTGAACTTCAGCCTGGCGTTCAACAGCACCAGCAGGGATATTGGAACCCAATCTCTCCCTCCTCACTGTGCCAGCCTTCACCTGTCAGTAGAACACCAAACTTCCTGACATGCAGGACGCATCGTTGAGGGTGGAAAAATTCTCCTTCAGAACCTGGACCCTCAGTACTGGTGCCCCCCAGGGATGTGTACTCCCCCCACTGCTCTTCTCCTTCTAGAGCAACGACTGCACCTCAGAGGACCCAATTGTCAAACTCCTGAAGTTCTCAGAGGACTCAACTCATCAGGAATGGCGATGAGACTGCGTACAGGCGGGAGGTTGACCAGCTGAGGACCAGCTGGTCAGAACAACCTGGAGCTGAACAAGCTCAAAACTGTGTCTGCTGTAGAGACCTTCAGGTTTCTGGGATCCACAATCTCACGGGACCTAAAGTAGAAGGATCAGCAGAGGCTTAACTTCCTACGCCCCCTCAGGAAGTGCTCTATTGGATTGAGATCTGGTTATTGTGGAGGCCGTTGGAGTACAGTGAACTCATTGTCATGTTCAAGAAACCAGTTTGAGATGATAAGAGCTTTGCGACATGGTGCATTATCCTGCTGGAAGTAGCCACCACAAGATGGTACAATGTGGTCATAAAAGGATGGACATGGTCAGCAACACTAGGCTGCGGCATTTAAACATGCTCAATTGGAACTAAGGGGCCCAAAGTGTGCAAAGAAAATATTCCCCACACCATTACACCTCCAGAACCAGCCTAACGCGTTGAGGGATGATGGCTGATTAGTAATTGACGAGCAATTGAACAGGTGACTCAATACAGTGGCCAGTGAGTGTGTATCTATGTATATATATTAGTGTGGTCAACATAAACGCGTTAATCTATGTGATTAATGTGGCCGAGATTAATGTGACAAAATATTTTAAACGTAGTTAACGTAACTTACGGTACCGCTAGCTGCAGTCAGTTACATCGGAGAAAGCAAGACGGTAGCTCAAGATGGGGAGCTTTTTGCATTGGAAGTAAAACAAACAGCGGTTCGACATAAAGTGGAGAACTGTGCAGGGGAATTCCTCCACATGTCAATCAGAAGGGGGGGTGAGTGGCAAAAAGGACCACTTAAAGCACTGCTATGCTAAGCTCGCTATGCTAAGCTCTCTACGCTGCGCAACACACAGTCTGCAAAGGACCACCACTGTGTCCCTAAAAGACCATGGTTTGAAAATGTCCTCGCTAAATGTGCGGACATTGTTAGTACTTCAAACACAAGCGTCAAATTATGGAGAGTTGCGAGTACAGCAAAGTTTCAAAACCTGTGATTGTGCGAAAATGTGCAATTAATTAGTTATTTTAAAAAAAATCTATTGACGGCCCTAATATATATACACACATATATATATATATATATATATATATATATATATATACACACACACACACATATATATACACATGTCAATTAATCTATTTCAGTGTATGTATATATATATATATATATATATACACATACACATACATACATACATACATACATAAATACACACACGTTAGTGCAACCCGTCGTTCAGGAACATTCACACACTGTAGTCCCAGCTACAGGAGCTATTTGGGGTTAAGTGTCTTGCCCAAGGACACACTGAAAGAGATTAATTGACAACCCTGCTCTCCACCGAGCCGCAGTCACCCACATGCAATGCAATACATATTAAGTGAATAAAAGGTACTTAAATCCCCTTCATCAACATAAGTTAGCACATTAAATACATTGAATACCTTGTTGAATTACACTTAATGCATGGCCAGTAAATGCAAACAATTCATGTTAAAATGACACTTCAAATGTCGTGCCGATTTACAAAATCCCTGTTTATAGCATTCCTCCATGACTGTTCTACCTGCATATGTGGCTTCATGTGTTTCCAGGTCAGCGAGTGTGACAGGCCCTGATTGAGGTAGTTGAGGCACTGCTGCAGGACACGAGGAGTAACATACTCCTTTTGTCTGTGCTGGTCCATTACCTTCAGCAGGACCTGGACAGACAACACATGACAAAAGAGACCACAGAAAAAAAAAAAACATGATCATGAAAATCTAAACCGGGGTTAGCAAACTTAGCATTCCAGCATGTGCATACGAGGACATGTTTTCAGTGACACATGAGAAAGCATATAATACCCTAAATTATCGATTTTTATTATTGCCATTAGTGCCCTCCAATTCATGCTCAGTGGGCTTTGTGCTGCTTGCCAACAATGCAGGTGATGTAACCAACACTACACTGCACCAATCTGGTGAACATGACAAAGAAATCTAGCTGTTCATTTTAAAAATGACCACGAAAAGTATGTTCTGATCAAGGTTTTGACCCCACACCCCTACTATTATATCACCCACCCTCACTCCTGTGAAAGAGTTTGAAATGCATTTTGACCATTTTTCCTCCCACAGTATGTGCACTCGTACAAGCAGACAGAGAACACCAGCAGACACTCGTACCCCTCCCCCGTGGGCCGAACAGTTTGCTCGTCTACTACCCCCCTCCCCCACTGAAGTTGGAAACCTAGGGGAAACACTGGAGAAAAGCTTGCCGATATCTAATCTGATCCAAATCCACAATTTCAAGTCTCAGCGACAAAAGCTTACCTGCTGTATGCCCATTGCATATGTCTTCAAGAAAAAGTCTGCAAACTCATAGTACTCCTTTGTCACATTGCCAGGGCTTCCATACCTGTAATTCAGACAGAAGCAATGTTGTGACATTGGGGAATTATCCACTAGATTCCATCAACCGTGTGCACCACTGGAAACATCAGTCCCCATCTCATTGTTGATCCATTACCAGCTTGTGTCACAATTCAACTCCTTTCCCTCATCGATCATTCAGGTTATAAAAAGAGCAGAATAGATCAGCCAGCTAAAGGGAACTGATGAACATAGGCTCCGCCCTTTACTGGATTACGGGTTAATTCAATAAAAACAAAATAAGAGTACAATGGATATATAACTGGTTTCTGTGGTAATTAGACAAAAGCAAAGTGTTGATTGTCATTGGTGGTTATGGTGACAACCACGTGTAATAATGAAAGCATGCAATGTCTTTTATATTGTTATAAAAGACATTACATCGTATATGTCCTTAACAATATGTATAACCCTTACACTATAATGACACACATCCCAATAATAGAGTGCAGGAAAAATTTTGAATACCATATATGGTAACACACATTGAGCAGGAAGTTAGGACTCCAACCACCTTTCTCTTCCCCTCACCCCTCATGACCTTATACACTAGGCAGTGGAGAGTACTCCTAGATATTCTGGTATTTTGAATGAATTATAAGAAGCTGGTATAAGAACAAAATAGGTGGGGAAAAGGTAGAGACTTTCTGTGAATTCCCATAAGAAGGGAATTTCTTCCTTAATGAATACACTTAAAAATAACTGATCCGTGAAACATCAAAAAAACTAAAACAATAATCTGTCCACTAGGCGGAAGTGTGAGATAAAAGGTCAATAGAGTACAGACACAAGACGGTCAGAACAAGAGATTGTTGCTGGTCACCTTTGAGAGGTACCACTGGGACAGGTGACCTCCAAAAAATGGGTTGGAAGGGAGATGTAGGCACCAACTAAAAAGTTGGAGGCGTTATAAACATCAGTGGAGTCCTAGCTTGCCAGTGAGAGAGAGCAGACAGCTCCGGAAAGAATGACTGACTAGTCGGAGAGGAATATATCTTGTTGTGGGACGAAGATGGGAGTGGTTCGGGGAACGATGCCGGGGGGAGGCATAATTGGCCTCAGGTGGGATTAATCAGTGTGTGTGTTTTGTTAAGAAGGAGAGATCCGGCGACAGCATGTGTGTGAGCCAGGCGAGAAAGATGGAGCCGGACGGCTGTTGCGTGGAGAACAGAAATAAAATATTGTTTATTGAAAACATCCTGCTGCATCCTCGTCATTCCGGGACCCCCATAGGACTGACACGTCACACTTGTCTATCTCTAGAGCAACAGGGCATGAGGATGAGGGACTGTTAGACCTAGCATTGCCACTGGCCACCTGGCAACTGATTTTTCGTAACAAGTGCAGCATGGTGGAATGAGCGAGATAGCAGTTGTCCGGCAAGTAAGCTTGCCTATTTCTAAAAATATCAAACACATACCGGCCATCCCAGCCCCAGCGAAAGTGAATGAGGCAATGGGCATGGACGACTGCTGTTGGCACAGTACTTTGTCCATCCAGAAAGTGATCAGAAAGTGCACATTACCTAGAACAGCAACTTTGTTGAACATGTTTGGTCGTGAGTTGGCAATACAGTCATCAGCTCAGCTTTTTCCGCTCTACCACCTGTTAAGACCGCATCGCTGACTAGATTGTTCCTCGGGTTACCAGCGGAATGTCTATTGGCAAAAATGTTCCATGTTGGTCTCCTACATGCCAACTTCACGTTGCGGAAGGTGTGGTGGCAAGTTTTGAGAAGACATACCCACAAACTGTTTAATTAGGCGTGTTCTCAGCACACTAAATAAGTGCATTGCCCACCAAACCATGAAGCGGGATTAGCTTGTTCAGTTTAGACATTGTGCTATTTGAGCGCTAACAATTACGGGTTGTTCTCTCCAGGCCTGGCTGGCCGACGGACAGGATGAGGAGAGCTGGACTGTGTGTACAGGTGGTTCAGACCATCCAAGCACAAAAGGGGGCTCCACCATTGAAGGTTAAACGGGATAGAGGGCTGTATCCTTCCATTGTGAAAGCATTTAGAGCAGTAACCTTCTTCTTCTTTTAGTGACTGAACTTCTTTTATTGACTGTCACCCTTTCATGAAGCAAACCTTACAGGGGGTCAGGTGACAGCTACCAATGTTGCATGCTTCTTTTCTGCAGAGAAAACTGACATTGGTGTTGTGGCGAAGGGTCTCTTTGAGGCTGAGTGGTGGAAGGGGGAGGCAAAGTTGTGTCTGTTTTACTCAGTATGTTGGTTCTACATTGATTGGGTTCCACCCACTGTACCCACGGAGTCCAGTAGAGGGCAAAGCCTTTTTGAGGTAGAACGACGATTACGATATCAGTTTGGATCGTTTACACTTGTGCATACCTTCGGGACAGAGGATGTCGCATGTGTACAGACTGTAAAGCCCTCTGAGGCAAATTTGTCATTTGCAATTTTGGGCTATACTAAATAAAATGGATTGAATTGAATACCTTTTTGTGGTTTCATTTAAGCAGCAAAACAAAAATCTGCTGGTGTTGTGAAAACAGCTCTGGACCCACCTTTCAAACAGTCTTGTGATGATGCGCAACGCCCACTTCTTACACTTCCACCATGCAAGCTCAGGACGGTCATCCTCATCAACCTCCAATGTTTCCTAACAAACACATACTTTAAATTCAGTGGAGTTCTATTAATCCCAGAAAATAACAAAATTTGAATTTAGAATCTGTTGCTTAAAAAAAAAAAAAAAAAAGTATCTTTCTTCTCATTTGTTTAACGTATAGAATTTATGAAATTATCAAAATATTGTGGGACACAACAGCTTATATATTTGATTCAATATGACGTGTGTCTTACAGCTGGGACGTCTCTGTCCATTATGGCTCGGAGGATTTCCATCCACTGAGTCATCAATGTGTTGTTGATCAGCTGAAGAGGTAGTGAGTACTGTGGAACAACAAGAAGATGCCTTCACAACAATGATCATTATTATCATCATCCCCAGAGTGAAAATTCTTGTAAACTTTGTATTCCTGAAGCATTATCTGAATGTTATTTCTAATATCACAGATGAAGGCAACATGTTAAGATGTTGGTCTGTTACTACTTTTTGTTGTGGGATATGTTGCACCATAATTAATTAAGATAGAAAATATGATTGTAATTTTCAGACCAACTTATGCCACTGATTACATAATGACAATATAAACCCTAATAACACAACTATAAAGAGGTTTTATTCGTCATAATATATTTAGACATGAGAATCTGAATGTGAAAAAATATATCCTAAATAAATAACAAATAATAAATACACCTTTGTTAACAAAAACGGTAAGGCAGCGCAATCGACTAAAATGTTGGTGACATTCATTCTTAACATGTAAAAATGTATATAATATATTGCAGCACCAAAAATGATTGCGCTCATCTCCATATACCGTGCCACAAGTCAATATAATAAATATTGTAACAGGCCTACTAAGATGTGACTGTCTGGCAAATGTATTCTGCCTCCAGCTCTCTAAAATGCACGCACGCACGCACACGCACACCTGTACAAGAGCGTAGAAGATCTTAAGAATCTGTTTTTGGATCAGGACAGAGAAGATGGTAGCGTCAGCCAGCAGCTGGCTAATGAGCTGCTGAATCCTAGGCAGGAAGATCTGCATGGCTGCCAGCAATGGCTCCCTCTCTTCTGCCTTGCGGTACCTGAACACAGAAGCAAAGATGCACATAAGTAAGCTGTAGTAGTTCCTTCCAACTTTGCAATAAATTGTTTTCTGATCGAACTTACAACGGATTTTTCAAGACCAAAAACCCTAACAGCACACAGCTTCTTGCTTGGGCACAAGTTGTGTTAGTGCATGTCTGGTCTCTCGTTGTTTCCTCAATATGGGAACATGGCGATATTGAGAGGCATGGTAACGCTAAAACAATATAGGGACATATGTATCATGCTATAGAACTCCTTTTCCAGTAACAGCTAGTGGTCCGGTGAACGGTTTGAGGGTAGTAGTAAGTGCGTTATCAGAATATTGGCCAAATGAGCCGTTTCAGCCTTTATGAGCAAATACAGAATCCCTTTGTGTTCATTTCTAAAGTCTCGCATTAAGACATACATAAATTTATTGAAGTCACTGAGCTACTTGCAAGTCGTTGTGTTGTGCAAAATCCTCAATAAAGTTAGAAAAAAAAACATTTATGGCAAACCCATGGTCATGAAGATACTCATTCAACGTTCCATGGAATTTGCATGAGGTGGCGAAGAAGGGTCCATGTCGCTAAATACCCAACTGAGATCGGCTTGTGCCGTTCTGAAAAAGGGCCCTACCATCAACCACCGGAACCTGCTGTTCTGACAAAGGAACCTGCCACCGACCACTTTTTGCTCACGGCGTCACTCCAATCAGACTTCAATACACACGTTATTGGGAGGAATGGCCTCCCTGATCTGAACCGGAGCGGTCGTTTGTTATCGGACTAGTCACGGATTGTCCATGACAAACGCCATGTTCCTTAGCGGCTGGCCTTGAGGTTGTCAAGGCAAGTGCAACTGGGAAGAGGCCCAGGGGAAAACCAGGAATAGTTAGGGAGATTATATCTCATCATATCACACTGGCCTGTGAACTTGGGATCCGCCAATCAGAGCTGGTATATGGGGCCCAGGAAAGGGAATTATGGGATCCCTTGGTGGAACCATTGCCCTCAATTTCAGTGAAGTTTAACAATTCCAAGTTACAAACAAAACAATGATGTTATTTTACTGCAACTGTCTCCTTGACCATTAATGAAATACAAAAACATTTTGTACTAGTCGTACAGTCCCTTGCATAATTAATTTACCCTGTTCCACCCGAGAGTTGCTCTTAAGTGGACAAAACCGAGCCAGAACAAAGGCAGCACCAACTTCCAACCCAAATATTCTGTACTCGCCACGAACAGATATAACAATGCTTCACATCGTCCAAAGCATTAGTCCTGGCTGCAATCAACATTTATCTGTTTGAAAATGGTCCAAACACAACTCCATCAGGCCTTAACAGAGTTAGAAAATCTATTATGCAAGTTATTCCAGAAACATTGCGCACAGCGGTGCAAAAGTTGAACAATCCGAAGTTAAAGCTAACACGGAAAACGAGGCAGCCAATCGATAATGCATTCAACAAAAAACAGTGATATCCGTAACATTTCTGTCAGACAAACCTTGCCGAATTCAGAGTGAAAAAAAAACACTAGGCACTCAAATCGTAAAAATCATAAAGGCCCCTTACCGTTGTCGTTTTCAAATAATATATGAATTTAATCCGCTGTTTCTAGAGTGTAATACGTTCAGCAGCTCTCTTGCATGACTCAGACAGCTTCTTGTCACTTTTAAAACATTAGGGGTATAGCAGGTGTATTCATACTGAGATTCATTTGAACCCCATTGGACCCCAGTGGACCCCATTTGCTAAATGTGTGACTTGCAAATGTAACTTGTGAAGGCAATCAGTCACAACAGATCGTTGTTAGGGGTTTTACAGTAAAGGGAGTGAATACATATGCACTCAACACTTTTTATCTTGAAATCCATGTAAACTTTCCCCTGACTTCCAGGTGATGGACTATTTGCGTTGGTCCATTACATCAAATCCTAATGAAATGAATTTGAATATGTGGTTATACCATGACAAAATGTAAAGAAGTTCAAGGGGATTTAATACAAGGCAACGTATGTACATGTAGATTGAGCCTCAAAGGTTTGTTTTCTGAAATAGATTTTCTTTTTGCCGTATGGGGAAATAGCTTTAAACAAGTCAATATTTGGTGGAAACATTGTAGGGATATAAAGACGGAGTTCAAAGATAGTTGCTCTAAGTTTGAATTAGTCCTTATCCACCTGCAGTTATGGTTTGAGGATTTTAGGAGCAGGAAAAGAGGAATATGAACAGTATCCCAGTTTACTCACTCGTATGTTTTGACCAGCTGGTAAAGAGCCAGTAAGCTGCCATACCAGCTGCCGCCGTTTTGAGCCTGCAGGTACATGCTGAGTTTGTCCACTATGGCAGTCCAGCGGCCGGGGAAGTCGTGCTTGATGATGGCTCGCAGACACATTGTCAGCTGAGCACTTTGGACAGCGAAAAAGACACATGGAGTGATTTAGGCATTAGTCAATGTTTCTCCTTCATTGTCTGCATTCCATTCATGTTTCAATTGTGACATCCGTCAAAGTTCAAAAAAAAAAGGAAAGCTATTTTATTTAGATTAAAGACATTTTTTTTTAAAAGTCTACAGGTCTCATGTTTTTCTCAAAAAGATAAAAAGTTCCATTGTCTAACGAAGGAGAGTAAAAAAAGAACTGCATTAATTAGAGATGGTAACAGATCCATCCTGAATCTACGGTGGCCCTGAAGTGCAAAACACAACGGCAAATAGGAAAACAAAACGAAATTAACTTCTTACGGAAAGGGTAGGGCCTTATAGCAGACGACGGACCCTTCTGATTGACAGCCGGACTGTCTTTTAGCAGGAAATGATACAGGGCTCTTAAGTGTCACGCATTGAGCGTGACAGTCACGCACTCCCGCCACACATCCAATTCCTCACGCCAAGGAATCGGACTCCGGTCCCCGACCCGTGTCGGCCGTATGATGAAACACTAGTAGGACACTTTTAAGACACCGCCATCTCTCTGTGACTTTCTGCTGCGGCTCTCCTGCTGCGCTCACTTCCACCCCTCATCACAGGCTCTCCCGCCACTGATTTATTGTTTGTCATAATATCTAGGAAGCAGCATTTCTCAGCTTTCAGAATCGGTGCAAATAGTTAAGGAGTCACGGTAATTTGAATCCATGTCACCTTCCGTCGCCGGCGAAAGGCTTCAAATTAAGAGGGTTAAAACACAGACAGTCCGTCTGTCCAATCAGAAGGGTCCGTCCTCTGCTATGTGCTATAAGGCCCTACCCTTTCCGTAACAAGTTAATTTTGTTGTGTTTTCCTATTCACCGTTGTGCTTTCCCATTTGCCGTTGTGCGTTCCTATTTGCCGTTGTGTTTTGCACTTCAGGAACACCGTATGAATCACATGGTGGTGCATGTATGACTATGAACAGAATGTACCGTATGGACTCTGGAGAGCGGATGATGCCCTCCACTATATGGTCTCGGATCTGCTGCCGGTCGTTCTCATGGATGTTGAAAGGAAAGACGACCTCGCCCAGACACGGCTCTCTATCCTGCCAGTACTGACTCACCATGTTCTTCAAGTAGATGGCCGCTACACACACACACAACCGGGGAGTCAGACAAACATGAAGAGACTCAAGGTTACCTCATGAAGATCAACAGAATAGATTTAAAAGATAAGTCTAGTGATATTCTATATTCCACTTACTGTCAACAAATCTCATAAAAAGACTAAAGGTGAAAAATGAATGCATCCTACTAAAAGTTATTTGTGTATCTAAAAAGGCATCTTATTTCTCGCTTTATATTAACGAATACACGAAGAAGGATACAAAAATGTTTTGGGTTATTTGTGTATTAATTACCCTTTAAATTAAAATGAAATCCAAATATAATGAGATTCACAGATATATGCCTGATGAACAAACATCTTATTTTCTTATCAATCTTATCAATCAATCTTAAGGAAATCCCTAAATAAACGTATTCAACACAAAAAACATGTTGAGGTTTTATGGCATTTATATACAACTGTTAAACCTATATTTACAAACTACTTATCCTGCGTGGGTTTTTTCAAGACTACTTATCCTGTGTGATTTTTCGAGACTTCCCCTTAAATCCAGCTTTATAAAAATAAAAAATTGACCATGAGTGAATAATTGGATGTATCCACCATTGCTACGTGAATGTGCCCTAACAAGGTTATACTCCGGTAGGGAACAGGGAAAGCAAAGGAAGTAGAGTCGTCAGACAACGATAACTTTGGTTGTCCAAATATCTGACGTAGCCATTGAAGATGGGAAATAAGTCTGCAGATGTTCCCAAAATAAAGAGTACAGCGAATGGATTGAAGAGAACTACGGTGTTGAAGAAATACAGCGGCACAAGGGATGTAAATGTTTCTACTTGTCAATCCATAAGTTAAGATGGTAAGTAGCTAACTTGAAAGGGGTCACAAGCAAATCAATGTGTTGTCTTGCTTGGATTGTTGCAATCAGTTAGAAAGTAGTTATTGTCAACTAATTTTCACTTCATTGTTGACACTAGTACTGCCTTTGTTATCATTGTTAATCTACTAGTGTATTTTAAAATCATTATATGGCCATATTTCAATAATTCATATCATATGCATTGAACCTTTTGTAATTATTTTACGTTGATAATTCTGTACAGATGTCAACTATTGCCCTCTAGGGCTGTCAACAAATATTCTATATTCGAATAGTTGTTTTTAACAACTATTCGAATGTAAAAATTAATATTCAAATGTAAAAAAATTATAAAATAAAAAAACAACAGCAGCAGAGGCGCGACTGTGCTTAGCGGGTGGGCGCGTGCCTGTACTGACTATATAATGCATGAATAAAATAGACTGTATAGGCTGCAACAGCTTCATGCACTGGTTTGATTATTTTCCGTTTCATGCCAAGGAAAAGTTCCGTGTTTACAGCAAAGCTCGCTCGGAGCGTTCAATGTCGGTACTGTAAAACTTTCAGTTTCAATCACTGAATGAAGCCATATTTGGGACAAGAATCGCAACCTTAAATTGCTTGCACAAAACTCTTGATCAGTACTCAGCATTTGTTTATTGTTGTCGTTGGTCGGTAACCTTACTGGAGTCAGCCTTGTTTGCTTTGGGATTAAATTAAATGCGTCCAGCATTGGCATTAGTTTCGGTCATCTCCGGTAGACTGCGCATGCGTGACGTCATTTTTTTTAATCGATGCCACGTGATCGACTGGTACTGCCTTTGAGATCGACGTATTGAGCACCCCTGATTTAAACCGCTTAGCGCAGAGAGAGAGACGGTGTGAGAGAGCGAGAGAGAGAGAGTATACAGGCACGCGAGAGAGAGATGGGGTCTTGGCAGTTAGTTAATTTACTTATTTATTACTGTTATTGACGCGTCTGCAGATACACAGATATTCGAATATATTTGAATATCTGTGTTGTGCCGATTTGAGGGTTGCGGGACAGATGATGTTGTATGTGGACAGATTGTAAAGCCATCTGATTTTTCAAAATGATCCAACAGTGTTTAAGTACTGTAAGCGAATAATGAATAGTGCGTCATGTAAAAGAGGTATATATAATATTATATGTTGAGAGACTTACCTGCCTGGCGAACAGGAAACTCCACCTGTTCCGACATAATGATCTGAAGCAGCGTTGGGGCAAAATTGATGATCTTGTACGACTGAAAAACACAGGAGGAAAGATATTTTTTATACATTTTTCAGATCTAAAGTAGTCATTTAGCCAAGAGGTGGCTGTCGCTCAGAGTAAGAACAGGTCGTCCACTAATCGAGAGATCAGGTCTGAACCCCCTATCCAAGTCTGCATGTCTAAATGACCTTTGTCAAAATGCCGCCGTTTTACCCAAAAGGCTGCATAATCCGCTAATGAATGCGTGTGATTGGTTGAAGGACTGAACAGTCCTTGTGACTCAAAGTGCTTTTACCACTTTTTTTCAGAGGTCTGCAACCTTTATCCCAAGAACCTTTTTCCTTATTTTCCATCAAATAATGGAATAATAATTTGTCTGGAGCAAGAAAAGCTTTTTGGTATCACTGCTAATGAAGTTATAAATGTGTATGTATATAAACATACATACAGTATGTACATGTATATATAATTAGGCCTGTCAAAGTTGATTATTGTGGTCGAGATTAATGCGCTAAAATATATTATTTATATATATATTTAATTATTTTAACGCAGTTAACACAACTGTCCGTTGGCCCCTGACAGGAAACTGCCGCGAGCCTGCACTCAGTTAGATAGGAGAGAGCAAGACGGTAATTGAAGCTGGTGAGAGCTTTTTGCATGGCAAGTAAAAACAAAGGCGCGACATACAGCGGAGAACTGCAGAGGAATTGTCAAGTGTCAAACAGAAAGGGAAAAATTACCACTTTAGTAACTTTTAGGAGTTCTGCATTGCCAGAACTATAGATGCCCATTTCCTATACAGCTTCGCAAGCGAGGAGGTTCAAGTTTCGCAAAAGCTATTCGCAAATAGCTTGCGTGAGGACTTTGCTCTTAAATGTTTGAGTTCTGTGCGCACATGGGCCTGATTTGCGCACTCGGATTTTGACATTAATTTGCCTTCATAGACACTCGTCTAATAACAGACCATTTAACTTTCGGCCGGTCCGTCCGCAAGGACTATCCGTCGGCCAGTCCGTTCGCAATGGGAAATACCCACCCATCGGCCAGTTTATGCCCCCCCTCCCAAAAAAGTGCAAACATAAAAAAAGGCTAAAAACCATTCTTCCCCTCATCCCTAACAGCTGCGATGGGGCAGTCCAAACACCACTCATTCGTCCAGCGGCGTCGAGATCAAAGAATGGCTGGTGGGATTTAACCGATCTCAGAGCGGCATTAAGCGGCCCGGACCCCCCCCCTCATGCGCAAATCACATGTAAATGATTCATAGCAGTTTATTTTCTCATAGCAGTTTATTTTCCCCTCTTAATCTCATGAAAACATGTGTTTTGAATACGACTATTACATTTTCCAATATTTCCACCTGCCACTTTCGATCTTGTTGTCACTGCCTTCATCTGCAAACTGGTAGTATCACCTATTTATAAAATCAAAATTTTGCTCATACTGTCAGTGTTAATCAATTTATACTTCCACTCATATATTGATGGGTGACTGTGTAAGTGGAGAGCACGGTCGTCCATCAATCAGCGGTATTGGCGTAATTTACATTTTATGGGAAAAATAGGACGCTGAGAATCACGCCAACTATTTTACAAAAAGACAAAGTAATACTGAACTTTCTCCATTACTTTATTGCTCATGAACTCCAATATGGTCACAAATGGACAAATCCCAATCAATCTGACTACTCCTGGAAAGACTTAAACAAACATTGTGTAGATATTGCAGAAGATACAATATATGCATGGTATCATGGCATGTAGGAATATTAAGGCAAAGGTGCATTTCTTTTAAAAGGTTTTAGTGTATTTTGTATTTTCCACAAACTCAAGAATTCTTGGAAAATCTTACCTTGGAAAACCATTTAGACCAAAACATGTGGGAAGAATTGTTAAAAGTGCTTTGAATAATAATATGGAAAAACATGCAGATAGATAATGATAGGGTGGGATATAAATAAACTGGTGGAGTTTCAGCAGGCCTGAGTAGACACTTTATATATAATACACATATATATAATACATACAATTCAGTCAAACTGCTTATCACACGCCTGCTATCGACTCTCCAATCAGGACTGAGGAATCATCAGGCCGAAACCGGGGTCAGTCCCCCACACGCACCCACACACACACACGCCTAAGGCTGGCGTTTTTTGTCGAAGACGACCTATAGGGTCACGTCTTTGTGTGTGGAAGTTGTTGGTTTGTATTTTTATTTATCATAGACTTTATTGCCTCGTGCATCGACACTGCTGCTTTTCATTGAGGACACATTTGTCCCGTATTTTCCTCCACAATTTTGTGCACCTCTCGACCGCCAAACCGGCGTTTGCGGCGATCTCCCTCCATGAATCCAACCCGCTTCTACAACCCGCCAATGACGGCTTGTATAACCGGTCATATTTACGCATTTCTTCAGACAAAAGCTCTTAAATCTGATCCCTTCTCTCGTAAACATTCTTCGTTTTAATAATGGCTATGAAAGCGGAAATGTGAGACTCCGTAAAGGATGTAGTTAGCGGACCAATCGCAGCCTTGTGCGCTGCGGGAGGCTTGCAAGCCTAGAAAAATGGGTCGACACACGCAAGGAGGTGTTAAAATGCACGCAGGGGACGCGCAAGGGGGTCTTGCGTCTGCGTCGCTCTGAAAACGCAGGAGCATAAACTAGGCTTTAAGAGGCAATGCGAACACAACCAAAAACCAACCACCCAGCTGCTTCCGCGCACACACACCTGATTGAGTTCATTCTCCGCAGCTATCCTCAGATTAGGCTCGATGGTCCCTTTCAGAGCCTGGATTATCCGGTTGGGATCCATATGTGATTTCTTCTGCGTTATATTATCACACACGTGCCGTTGGGTTACCTCTCCTACATTTAGCACTGCGTTACAGAACTGCTGCTGTGTCCCAAACACGGCACCATCTCAGAGTTCCATGTACAGATCCCGGTCCCAGCTTTCACAATAAACTGCGCATTGGCGGGAATTTATCACAAGGAGTTTATTCTTAAGGCACACCCGGTTTTCTCTTAACTCAGGCGAGCGTGATGGAGGAACAATAGCTCTTCCCCGCTTAGCTTCACGTAAAGCAAAGTAAACACACGCTTTACGGCTTTCCTCCTCCGCTCAGCGACTCCCGGAGGAGACACAGCGGTGCCTCTTGCGGGACGGAGGACACAGCGGTTCCTTGTGCGGGACGGAGGGATCATCTTCTGCTATGGAAGGGGAAGGTGTTCAGAATAAAATAAATATAAAAATACATGAAGATACTGTAGTATATTAGAAATAAACTGACGGCCCGGTTCATGAATTGATAAAATGCATATAGAATAATATCAATGTACACTTATGATTGTATTTGATGTAATCAACTGGAATGCATGCATGTAATACTTGCACAACAACTAGTATTGATTGAGGATCATTTGAACTCAACAGAAGACCACTCCCAGAGGTGTGGACACGAACTTTCACACCATAGGGGTACAAACTCAGAAGAACAAGAAAGTGCAATTCCATCAAATAAGCCAATTTACAATTTGCTATAGATGAGTGGCGTTATAAGTACAATATAAGTGCTATAATTTGTTAGTCTTTTAGTCGAGGTAGAGTCTGAAGAGGTGGGTTTTTAGTTTGCGGCGGAAGATGTGAAGGCTCTCTGCGGTCCTGGGGCCTCATTTATAAACGTTGCGTACGCACAAAAGAAGGCGTACGCCGCTCTCTACGCAATAATTGGTATTTATAAAAAGCAAACTTGACGGAAAAATGTGCGGTCCTTCACGCAAGCTCGGACCCATGCGTACGCACAAAAACGGGTGAAGTGAGAACCGTCGTCAAATGCAAGAAACACGCAAACGTGTGTGAAAGTGTGTAAAACTAGACTTTTGTGTAAATGAAATGCCAATACTGCCTCTCATAAATAACACAAACACCCGTTTGATCGATCTGCAGCGTAAAACAAACAGAAATGCAAATTAACACATTTTCAAAAAGAAATATGTTGCAATAATATTGGCATGTTATGCAATTCATCCTCAAAACACAGCTGTTGCTTGTCATATGCAATCAAATGGAATAAAATGCCATGATGCCATCACAATGAGTAATGGCGCGAAATGGCTGATCTCTTAGAAGATGTAGCAAATGGAAGGATTCGCGCTGTAGTGCAGCGCACCATTGGCCTGTTTAAGGGCAGATGGCGCTGCCTCGACTGCACTGGAGAGAGGTTATTGTCTACTCCTGAAAAGGTGTGCAAAATCGTGCTGGCATGTGCTGTGCTACATGTGGCACAGCTTTCAAACGTGCCTCGATCCCCTAACGCCGATGGCTGTGTTGGCCCAGACCCTGTCCCCGATCCCCAATCATTGCCGGCAGTCTCTAATCAAGAGGGGACAGCTCCGGTGTCCCCGCTCACCCACCCGTGGCAGACACACTTTGGCGATGGCGCGCTAAACGCTTTTTTGCATCCACTTTGATGTCAGACCATTTTTTCTTTATTTCGTCCACGATACGAGGTTGTGAGGCTGCAGCGTTGCTCTGAAACTTTTTGCCACTCAAGTGCCTTTTTGGCATTAGTGACGCCCATACTGTGCCCTCCAAAAGGCATTAGACTCCTTTCCACCTCGCCAATGATAATTTCGACTGAGTGAAGTTACGTTTCTTCGTTTTCCTCTCAGTGTTTGCCATGATTTCGCAATCGATGAATATTCATTTGAGACCCCTGGTGTCTTTAGAGAGCTCGTTCCACCATTTCGGAGCAAGGACAGCAAAGAGTCGTGATCTCTTCGAGTGTTTTTCTCTCAGTGAGGGAGGGACGAACAGTTTTGCAGATGCAGAGCGGAGAGTGCGGGTCGGGATGTAGGGTTTGACCATGTCCTGGATGTAAGCTGGACCCGATCCATTCACAGCATGGTACGTGAGCACCAATGTTTTGAACTGGATGCGGGCAGCCACCGGTAGCCAGTGAAGAGAGCGGAGGAGTGGAGTAGTGTGGGAGAATTTCGGAAGGTTAAAGACCAGTCGAGCTGCTGCATTCTGGATGAGCTGCAAATGTCAAATGGCGGTAGCAGGGAGACCTCTCGGAGTTGCAGGAGTCCAGGCGTGAGATGACAAGAGCCTGAATCAGTACCTAGGTAGCCTTCTGAGTGAGAAGAGGACGTATTCTCCTGATGTTGTAGAGCGTGTATCTACAGGATCGCGTTGTCGCAGTAATGTTGGGAGTAAGGGAGAGTTGGCTGTTGAGTGTCACGCCGAAGTTCCTAGCGGTTAAAGTGGGCGTTAGCACGGAGTTGCCAAAGTTGACTGTCAGGTCCTGGGTCGGAGAGTCTTTTCCCGGAAAGAGAAGTAGTTCAGTCTTGTCGGGGATGATTTTCAGATGGTGAGGACATCCACTGAGAGATGTCAGTCAGACAGGCAGAGATCCGTGCCGCCACCTGGGTGTTCGAGGGAGGGAAGGAGAGAATTAGTTGAGTGTCATCGGCATAGCTGTGGTAGGAGAAGCCATGCGAGCGAATGACAGCGCCGAGAGAGTTGATGTAGAGCGAGAAGAGAAGGGGACCCAGGACAGAACCCTGAGGAACTCCCGTAGTAAGAGGACAAGGTTCCGACACAGATCCTCACCAGGTTACCCGGTAGGTGCGGCCAATACTCATATGGATACATCTTAATCAAACATTCAAACAATTCAATATACCTTGAAAAATCACATTGATTTTATTGCGGGTCGGATTTTTTTTGGGATGTTTTGGGCGGCACGGTGGCGTGGTGGGTAGCACTGTCGCCTCACAGCAAGAAGGTCCTGGGTTCGACTCCGTCCAGAGGCCTTTCTGTGTGGAATCTGCATGTTCTCCCTGTGTCTGCGTGGGTTCTCTCCAGGTTCTCCGGCTTCCTCCCACAGTCCAAAGACATGCTCTGGGGATCAGGTTAATTGGGGACTTTAAATTGCCCGTAGGTGTGTGAATGAGAGTGTGAATGGTTGTATGTCTCTGTGTTAGTCCTGCGATTGGCTGGCGACCAGTCCAGGATGTACCCGGTCTATCGCCCGAAGTTGGCTGGGATGGACTCCAGCCCCCCCGCGACCCTGCGTGCAGGATAAGCGGTTTGACGATGGATGGATGGATTTTTTGTTAATTTCTTCAATTGTATTGTTCAATTAAAAAAATGCCACTTTGCATCAAAAAGGCCACCTGGATTTACATAACTGGCTCTTTCGCAGGGTCCACTTTTCAGATTTTTACACAACTTTCAACTAGAACTCAATAGCAAATTCAGTTACTCAGTTCTCATGGCAATGGCTCAGTTGTAATGCCTTTACCTCAGTCACTTTAACATGTACACTCAGAGGACCATTGTGTATATCTGCAGTATAATTCAATGGCTCCGCCATTAATTCTAGATTCAAAGTTTGAGTCTTGACAATTTTAATGTGTGAATTCGGTGTATTACTGTGGTCAGTTAAGGGGGTCTTTACATTATGGTAGTAAAATGTTTTGGACGTTTTATCCCACCCTATTTGAAGACAGTAGGAGAATAGATAAGTAAGGCAAGCAAAAGTAATCAATTCACACAATACTAGTAAGGGTTTTAGTGTGTACTAGGAGTATACACATTTCCGTAATGTGCAGAGTAAGTTGCAGGCCAGAAACTAGACTGAGATATGTGTTGACCAATGACCGTTAATCATACTTGGAACTTTGAGTGAATTTAAATGTTTGACAATTAATCTTTGACCTGGACAGACCATTTAAAGGATGAGCAGGTGAAAGGCTTAAAGTGCTTTAAACCAGAGAAAAGTGTGCTTTGTAGATGCAGGTTTAATTTAAACACCCATCTATAATTGTTAACACATGACAAGAATCAAGATTAAGCATGTAATCACGTTATTTATTTAGGCACATCAAGGGACCACTCCCATCTCTCCACAGTAGTCCTTGCATCCATTTGACCTTAAGTGTTCAACACCATACCCACCACCAAGAGCACAATCCTTTCTCAGTTTCAAAATTCACATACGGCAATGTGAGACTTAATATATAGAAGCCCAGCAATGAGTGAGACGCCGATAGTAAAGTCAGATATAAAGTATTAGATAAATCATACAATTACAGTTCTTCATACATTTAACATCTGGTCAGTCATCCAAAGCCATTTAGAAAATAAGGCATACGTTCACAACATTGCATTAGAATCCTCCACAATTGGCCAATTGTGAGTTGAACAGGTGACATGCCATTGGTTTATTTACCTTGAGACACGCTATCAGTTGTAATATCAGTCTCCGGAAGCACCACCATCATGAACAACACACAGGGAACCGGGAATTTTGTTTATATCAAGTAGTCCCAATCCTCATCTCCACAATACTGAAATGCCAGTTGAATCACTATTTAGTAAAGGAAAAGAGCCATTTGTTTGAGTGAAGTTCAATCCTGATACAGCAGGAAGCCAGAGAAAGTGCTGTACTTCCAGGTGCTGCCATAGATTGCACCGCGATGCAATCGTAGCCACACCTGGTCGCCTTGAAAGAGAGGCAGGATGGCATGGTTGCTGGCAGTCTCATGATCTGGGGCTCCATCATTGGCATACGCAGACACCATCACCTCTTCGTTGCGCATGAGGTTTATGTAGAGGGGCACGTTGATGGCGAGTTTCAGGATATGGAAGATGAACACATAGGTTCCATCGACAGGACAGGTGAAACGGCCAATGTGGGTGTCGTACATCTCCCCTAGGTTAGTGTGCAGCTGGTCAAACACAATAGGCTGGTCCAGGTTTCCTGGTGCAAAGTTGGCAGTGCGAGAGGCATTGAAGGCTACTCGAAGTGGCTGAGAAAGTGGGTGGAGGTGTATTGGAAGAAGGGTGTGCTGGTGACCATGGGGTGTCAAAGGGACCTCAATTGTGGCGAGAGAGAGGGAATCTCCATGACCAGAGTCCACAATGGTAAAAGCTCCTTCTCGGTTCGGTGTGCTCACCTGGGAAGAGTCACTCCATGCTGCTGGGGAGTTAAAAAATAAAAACAAACGCATGTTCAGTCTTAGACATTTGAATACACTTATGTCATCTGATAGTTAATCTCTATTTTGGATATATTTGTTTTTAATCTACCAGAGTAAAATTGAGTTTATTTGTAAAACAGTCAAAATATACTTGTCATTAAATGCCATTACTTTTTGTCTCATTTGTTCTTTGTTTTGTTGTCATCAAGTAATTTACTTTGTTAGTTTTTACAGTATCTCTAAATTTTAAAATATCAAAGTTTACAAGAATTTTAAGAGGTGCCTAATGAAATTTAATATATAAAGGGCTTAAATGGTCTATATACAATGTAAGTTGACTAGTATCAATTCTACAAAAAGGGTAAATGAAAGCAGTCAGTTTAAGATTATTTTTCTGCCAACAGCAAATTTATGAGCTCCTTTCTTCAAAGGATAAAAGCAAGAAAACCTTTGGCTACACTACACTGACATCTTTAACGTGATCTCCACAACCCACAAAAATCTGAATCAAAGCATCAATATCATTCACATCTATAAATGTATGATTTTGATGCTGCAAACTAAAGTCAGTTAACAAAGTAGACTAATGTAAGGTAATAAGTTAACCCTGGACAGATGCTAGATAAAAATGGGTGAGTGAATAAACAGATCAAAAAGCTTTGGACCCAGAGTAAGATCCCTCTTGATTGGAACCAATATGAAAATACTTTGCAATCTTTTGTGGTGGTTCATAAACGCTGAAGCAGTTGAATGGTTTTATATTGTAGTAAATTCAATTAAGAAAAGGTCAAATTAACAGACTTAATGATATGAGTCAATTATTCTACCTCTCATGTAATCATTTTCATTCATGTTCATTATTAATTGTACTCATAATATTCTATATTGATTACATTTATCATCTTGTACACATGGCATCCATTGCAGTCTGTCCATCCCGGGAGAGGGATCGCTCCTCTGCCATTCTCACAAGACGTTTTTCTTGTGCCAATGTGAGGGTTTCGGGAGAGGGGATGTCCCATGTGTACAGACTGTAAAGCCCTCTGAGGAATATTTGTAATTTGCGATTTTGGGCAATACAAAATACAATAAATTGAATTCCATGTTTAGTAATGTAGGTTAACTGATTAATATTACATTTCACTGCTTGACGCGTGTAAAAAATAATATGGCTCTGAAAACCATCACAAGAACCATGTAGCAACTATGAGATTGAGACTATCACATTTGAGTTTTTCCACAATTGGTTGGCGTTCCAAATTAAAGCTAATGTTAAGTTATGTCACAAACTAATTAACTAAAGTTTTATCTCTTAAGCCGAGTACTTCACGGTTTCTATACCAAATCTCAAGATTACGGAGGTAATCATTGCGATAAAATATTTTAACAGTTAACACTTTTACTTTCGGTGTTTCAGAGAGTCATCTTTTGTGATACCGAAAAACACAAAAGCATACCCCATTTCTTATCCCCCATGAGAAACGATTGGCATTAATAATCATATAATATTACTCATCAGTACGCTTATCAAATTTTCATATGCATCCCTTCCAACAAGCGCCCTTTATGGATGAACTAAGGGTAGGGGGGGGGTTAATACCTGATGCATTGTTAAGGGGAGATCTTGTTATGAGAGAATATGTTCTTACCACTCAAATTATGCCTTCCTCCTTCGCGGCTATAACCGTGTTGACATCCAGAGTCCTGAAAAAATAAATAAATAGAACTTCAAAACAGACTGAGAAAGCAGCAACTACGAAAGACTGGGCAGCCATAGGCTATTAAAGAAGCCCGGCTCCACAAGATAATATAAAGAAAAGATCATTCAGAAAAAGCTAATTTTGATGATACAACGCGTTAATGTGGTAAAGGTAATGAAAGAATTAACTTTGTTATGTTAATCTTTCACAATAAAAGACTGTATACTGTGGTAAACCAGGGGGAAAAGCTGAGCAGACACAGCGGAGGGGGCGGATCCCTAAATTCAAGTTGTAGAGGGGCTAGAGGGAGTCTACTATCTAGTGCACATGCTGCAGCCACTACATAGGGGGCATTAGAGTAAGCATATATTCATAGTTGGGAAGCCACTGGAGCAGACAGACAGACAGGGTTTGTCAAAATGACAAAGGCTTATCCATGCCCAGAGTTGGTGTTGGGAAAAACGTAACGTTATCTTAGTCAATATTACTTTGACAACAATCTCATGGTGTAAAGTAATTGAAGTGATTTTTGCTCATCTAACTGTACAAGGGCTAGCACACTGATTATTGTAACAAGATAAGTGGAATGTAGCCCTATTTATTAAAATATTAAGTGTATCAAACCTCTTTACTTTATGAAACCTTTATAAAAGGTAATGCAGAGTGATGTAATACAACAGCCATGAATTAAATCACACACACACACACACACACACACACACACTTACCCTGGCAGCATAGATGACAGGGCCAGTGTCCCTTAGATCAGTCTGGGAGGTGCAGGATCCTACCAAGGAGGAGAAATCACTGAGCTGTATAACCGTCAGATTAATTTCACTTTAAGCTTTAGCCAGGATTTGACAAAGCTACCCTACACCATCTAATGTGTACATATTTTACGTTGTTCATTCTGTACACATCTATTGCACATCTATCCAGAGGAGGGATCCCTGCTTTACCGTTCTACTCAAGGTTTCTTCTTTTTCCTCCTGTTGAATATTTTTTTGGTGGAATCTGAGGGTTACGGGACAGAGCACGTCTTTCTCATGCATCCAGATTGTAAAGCCCTCGATGCAAATTCGGGCTATACAACATAAAATTAATCCAGTGAACGTGAAAGCAGGAAATGCCGGGGTATTCCATTCCCAGAAGGGAAATGGAAAGCTGAAGATAGTTATCTTAATGCCAACCAGAAGAGCGGAGGGTTGGGCCCGTCACTTGTCATACCTCTCACCGATCCTCTGCTATAGTACAACTGGCCGGGACGACCTACGCTTCCATCCGACTGTTCAGGGGACGGGAAGACGGGTCCACCATTTTCCACCGTATAATCCGAGTGGTAGACTAGAAAGACAAAGCAGCACAAAATAGGCAGTTAACCACTCAATCCATGGCGGTTGATATTTTTGGAACAATTAAATTTGATCAGACATACCCAACAGTGGTTCTTCTTCTTCTGAGGTAAGAAACTCCGGTGGGGTTTGTGTACTGGCAATGCAGCGATTGGCCTAATTAAAAATAGAAAAGTCTGGTTTATAGTTTAATCTCCAATTCCGAGCAGAAAAAAAATAAAAGACAGTGAAAAGAAAATGAACAGCAAAGAACAGAAGAGAAAAGAAGAAACAGTGCAACAGTGCAGACTTTTCACATCTCTCGAGTGGCTGCATACAATTTCGTCATGCTCCAGTGCTTATATTGGATTTTTTCTCGTCGGAACAAAGAATAAGCGAGACGCCGCTACAGGAACCATTTTCAATGGTTCAATTGCTCTTGGTATGGACTTCAAAAACACTTATTCAATCAGGACAGTACATTGAACTCTGAGGGTTGTCTTGATGTAACTTTACATTAAGTTAAAAGAAACTTTATTAATATGCATGCTGTTCAGTTGAAAAATAATCAAATTAGAGAATTATAAATGCAAAAATACATTAGCAGAGACCGACTGCAAATGCATTGACCACTGAATCCAATATCTGGGCGGTTCTTAAACATTACCAAACATCTTCAGGTGTATTACCACCACCATCATCTGGACTGGAGAAACATTTAAATAATCGCATATAACAACCCCATGTTAACAAATGCGCAGTCAAAATACCATAACAATCAAGCATTTACACTAGGACCTCCCATTTGTAGTACATTTAATCCTCATCTGATGAAGGGGAAAAAAAACAACAAAAAAAAAAATCAATAATGCCGCTTTCCGACTGATTGAAACCAAAACCCCATTCAGCAGAATTGCTTGAGAAAATTCCTTGGGGCAGCTGTAGTGTGCTAAACCAGCGATTCCCAAACGTTTTAGGCCACGCACCCCCTACATCCCAACTGGGTTCATGCACCATCAATCCTCCACACAAAATTTTAATATATTTAAAAAGTATATTTATAGCTGCATTAAAATTGGACCAAAGACAAAAAACAGTGGTTTACAATATTTAGCCCGCTGTTAAATATTGTAGTGTGAACAGACCGAACAAAAGGGACAACTGCAACATTGTATCAATTCTGAATCAGGACAAAGCAAACCACATAAATACCCTGAAAACAGCCCCATTTCATCCAAAATATGTGATTGTGTGGGGCTTTTGCATGTGTCGAGCCATTTTTCTAGGCTTGTGTCGCAAGCCTCCCGCAGCGCACAAGGCTGCGATTGGTCTGCTAACTACATCCTTTACGGAGTCTCACATTTCCGCTTTCATAGCACAATACCGCCATTATTAAAACGAACAATGTTTACGAGAGAACGGATCAGATTTAAGAAGGATTCACGGAGGGAGATCGCCACAAACGCCGGTTTGCCGGTCGAGAGGTGCACAAAGTTGTGGAGGAAATGCGGGAATTCACCACACCGCGATGAAAAGCAGCAGTGGCGATGCACGGAGCAATAAAGTATATGATAAATAAATAAACAAATAAATAAATAGGCGTGACTCTAGGTCGTCTTCAGCAAAACACGTCACTCCGCCTGTTGTTCTGGCGGGGAATTGCTCTGGAACACACAAGCCTTTTAAAGGCTGGCACATGCTTCTGCGTCTTTACGCACCGTTGTGCCGACGCAGTCGTTTCAATTCATGGTTCAAAAAGGCTTGCGTGTTGGTTAAGGATAAACTTAAATACAGTAAGATTGTAAATCATGTCAGCGGTAATGACTCCCGATTACGTCGCTCGGAGGTCACTAAAGTTAATGTGGAATCGGTGTGTACATACGCAAAAAAAATGTCGGACAGCGTAGTTTCTTTAGTCAGTGACGACATGTATAGCCGCATGTCGTCATTCCGCCACTGGTTGTCGAGGTGGTCCCCAGTAAATAATGTGGGCTTCGTTGATCAGTGGAAGACGTTTTGGGGAGAGCCTGGTCTGATTAGGGACTGCATCCATCCCACTTTGGATGGAGCTGAACTCATTTCGAAGAACCTGACCCAGTTTGTAGTGGACTTAATCCATGACTGCGAAGCAGAGTCGCAGTCTTATACACTTCTCTGCACTTCCATCCAAGCGGTCACTCACCCAAACCATAATTAACCATATAGAGACCTTGTCTGCCCCACGTACAAAGGTCAACAACTGAGGAGTTAATAAATAACTTAAAGTTAAAACTAATAATGCAATAGTGCAACAAAATCATTATTTTAACCACTCTCGAATTGGTTCTTGTGTATGGGATTGGGATCGAACATTTAAACGCTTATGGCGTTCCACTAAATCAGAAGGATCTAGGCTAGTTTGGCAAGACAGCCTTAAAACATAAGAAGGCTCTCCGTAATGCAAGAGCATCTTATTACTCATCATTAATAGAGAAAAATAAGTCAAGAGTCACAGCTCTGTCGAGCCGTGTATTCCTTTGGACCTCAGTAGTAACGACTTCATGAATTTCTTCAATGATAAGATTCTGACTATCCAAGAGAAAATTGATTGTCTCCTGCCTTCAACCAGTGCCGACCTGTCCTCAGATGCAGCAGTGGACCCTGATGCCTGTTTGGATGCCTTCTCTTCCATCAACCTTGATCAACTGACTAATTTCAAAGTCTAAATCTTCTACTTGTCTCTTGGATCAGATTCCATCTAAGCTGCTTCAGGAAGTTTTTCCTTTAGTTAGCACGTCTTTATTAGATATTATGAATCTGTTTTTGTTTAACGGGAAATGCACCACAGTTCTTCAAGGCAGCTGTAATTAAACCTCTTCTTAAGACACCGACTCTTGCTCCAGAGGTGTTGGCTAACTACAGACCTATCTCTAATCTTCCCTTCCTCTCTAAGATCCTTGAGAAATCCGTTGCAAATCAATTATGGGACTTTCTACAAAACAATACTTTGTTCGAGGATTTCCAGACAGAATTCTGAGTGCATCATAGCACAGGAACCGCACTGGGGAAAATTACGAATGATCTTCTACTTGCATCGGACTAAGGACTCAACTCTTTTCTTGTTGGACTTCAGTGCCGCATTTGATACCATAGACCATTGTATCCTGTTGCAGACAATACTCAACTGTATCGGTCGATCAAACCAGAAGAAACCGACCAGCTAGTTAGACTTCAAGAATGTCTTGGAGACATCAAAACTTGGATGACCGGCAACTTCCTGATGCTAAACTCAGAAAACTCTTAATAGGCTCAGAGCGCCTTCGAAGCCACCTGTCACGTGATGCACTTTTTATGGATGGAATTGCTCTGGTACTCAGCAGCACCAGGATATGTTCTTCAACTCTCATATAAAGAAGACTTCAAGGACTGCCTTTTTTCAATCTACGGAATATATTGAAAATCAGGAACTTCCTGTCTGAAAATGATGCAAAAACTAGTTTGTGCATTTGTTACTTTTAGACTGGATTACTGTAATTCTTTGTTATCAGGCTGCTCTTGTAAATCTCTTAAACCTCTCCAGTTGATTCAGAATGCTGCAGCATGTGTATTAACAAGAACTAAGAAAAGGGATCATATTACGCCTGTATTAACTTCTCTGCACTGGCTCCCAGTTTAAATAAAGAATAGAATTTAAGGTACGTCTCCTCATCTACAAGGCACTTGCTGGTGAGGCACAGTCTTATCTAAGAGCTTGTAACACTGTATTGCCCTACAAGGCAGCTGTGCTCCTTAGATGCTGGGTTACTTGTTGTTCCTAGGGTTTTAAAAAGTAGGATGGGAGCCAGAGCCTTCAGTTATCAAGCTCCTCTTTTGTGGAACCAGCTTCCACTTTCAGTCCGGGGGAAAGATTCTGTCAGCTCTTTTAAGATAAAGCTTAAAACTTTCCTCTTTGATTTTGATTAGAGTTAGGGCTGGCTCAGGTTAGCCCGGACCAGCCCTTAGTTAAGTTGCTATAGGCTTAGCCTGCCGGGGGACTTTAGGACATAGAGCTCCTCTCACGCTCTCTTTCTACAATAATCCATGTTTTATTAATGCACATGACTAATTCAGCTTCTTTCCAGGAGTTTTGTGCTTTCTCCCCTAGCAGGTCTCCGTAGATCGTAGTTCCTTCTGGACCCTGGTCCTGACACCTGCCGTGGCCCTGCTGACACTGCTGCTACATTGTTCATTCTGTACCCATGGCATCCATTGTAGTCTGTCCATCTCGGGAGTGGGATCCCTCTGACGTTCTCCCTAAGGTTTCTTCCCTTTTACCCCTATTGGAAGGGTTTTGGTGTGTGTGGGTTTCGGGACAGAGGATGTTGTACGCGTACAGATTGTAAAGCCCTCTGAGGCAAATTTGTAATTTGCGATTTTGGGCTATACAAAATAAAATTAATTGAAATTGATGGTACTGAATGTAAAAGTCGATAACCTGTTGGGTCAGTCGATGGTATACCGCCATAACATCGACCAAACAGGAACAAAATCTTTTTTGTACATCTTCACAAGTCACACCTACCAACCCAAATGTCATTGGTGAAACCTCAGGCGAGTGAAAAGCAACTCTGAAAAGGTACTACTATACAGACCTTTGATCTTTTTTTTTTTTTGCAGAGACTTACTGGCTGAATGTTCTGAAAATGGGAAGATGTTAGAGTTCGCCTAGCGGGAGGTGTAGAGAAACTTTGTCCCTGAGGGGGGGTTGAGGTGCAAGAAACCATCCCAGTAAGGGGGGACTGTTTACTTGACTCAGCTACTGCAACCTGTAGGACACAAAGAAAGGTTAAAAGTTTAACTTAAAAAGCATGCACTACCAAATGTAAGGGACACAAAATGATACAAGAGGCAACATACATACATGAGGTAGGTCTGTTGAGGAAGGCTTCAGGTCACAGATCTCCAGGAATGGGTCCTCATTTGTCAGACTGGCTTTGTGCTCAAGAAGCTTGGTCGGCAGTGGGGTGGACTGTGGTGGATTAGGACGAGGTGATTACAAGTTCAAGAGATTTGGATTTTTGATCACAAAAGACTTATCACAGATAAAAGAAATCTTACATGCATTGCTTTTGGCAGGACATTGACTGGGCTTCTCAAGACTGTGTGACCTGGTTAATTAAAAGTTTAAAGACAGATCAAGAAATGACATAGGTAACATTTTCGTATGAATATCTTTGCGGAAGTTTTTGTTGTACAACCCATGGGCGGTTTCTTGTGAACAAAGTAAATTCACATACATTCCTTGGTGTTTTTCGTGAAAACGTCTTAACAGGATTACGTCTACCCAGGCTTGCAGGTTGTACATAGGCCAGTAGTGCTCTGAGCTGTACACAAAGTTAAATATGATGTATGCCAACATATTGTTAATTTCTGCCAGAAGGTTTGCATTTTACAGTTTGCTGGTTGGCAAAAAATAGTGCAGGTTGGAAAGCTTGATGGGAAAGTCAGGTTTGAAGGTACATTTACACGTATGTTATACGTTAGCTAGCCGGAATGTACATCTAAAATGGATAAAAAGAAAAGTTTCACGTCGTATGCACTGTAATTTCGTCTGGGCTGGGCTGTAACTTCTTTACATTAATGTTCGATAGCATGAAACATTTAGTAAGAATGCTTGTATAATTACATTATGCTCTTGTATATTCATATGTAAGCTCATATGGGTGAGTGTTCAAACTAGGCATTCTTTTGTCTTTTTAGAAAAAAAAAAAGAAAAATGTGCATTTCCACATTGTTGTTTAATTCCAATAATTTATCAAATTAACTAGCATTCTTCCCCCCTGGCAGCAAGAACTTTCAACTTTGTGACTTGCAAATTGATACCAATTTTATTTTTGCTTCATCTTTTGATCTCGATAATGGAATGTTTGGCGTAGAATAAGCAGTTTTAGAAATACTACAAATGATTACTAGTTGCGTGATTCAATTGTTGACATTGAACCTTGTTCAACTAAACATGCCCATTTCCCCATTTCATCTCAATTAGTATTCATGGTTCTGACAATATGGCTTGTAATTAGGAGCCCTGCTCTCCTGACATAATATGCTTTTTGCTGGATTGGAAAACCGAGACAGACCCAGTACATAACGAGTTTGGTGATATTTATCATCCAGGAAAGCTAATGTTTAGTGATGCCAGGTAACTCCAAATGAGCCTGACTGAACGTTTGAGTTTGTCATGATACTTGCCCATAATCTTCCTCAGCTGATAAGTTTCAGGATTCATCATGATTTAAATTTCAGTTAATTGCCGGTGAATCACTACTTCCACCTCTAATTCCTCTCCCACAAAGAGTATGACTTGATCTTATTCCGTTGGTAAAGTAATCAACAGATTGAGACCATGTGATGGTTTAAACTCTAGAAAATGTTGTGTACATGTGCGGTGATAAAACTAAAGTTTGTTGACTTGTTACCCAGAGGCAGTGGAGATCTAGACGGCTGTCTCTTCAGTCTTGGATAGTCGTTAGTTGCAGTAATATTCCCATCCAGAAGAGAGTCCTAAAACCAGAGAAGATAATATCAAAACCATCAATAGTAGCAAGGTTAAATAAAAATCCATTGGTATGCAAACAAACAGTTAAATTTCACCTGCATGAAACTGAAAGAGCCATGGATTGTCGTCATTAGGTCCTCTAGGTGCAGTTTCCTCAGGACAGGGTCTTTGGGTAAGTCATATGGATAGCTGAAAACCTCCACTGCCTGTTGGGAAGAAGATTATTTGAGAATTGCTGACAAGTGTTTTTTGTACATTTTAAATTTATGTACTTACAGATTTGGCACGTTGCTTGCTTTTGGCTCCAGTTTCCTTTTTCTGGAGAGAACATAGTGTATGAATTATTGCCTGGGTACCATTATTGTAAGGCAAACTGAGCTTACAAATCACAACTGCTGTCAAGTTTACGATAAGAAAAATAAATAAAAAGACAAGGCATCTGACCAATCACGCCGTTATCTCTCCAAGACTGGAGTACTGTATTTCACTCTTCACTGGGTGAATAGTGGTAACATCCAGAAACTAAAATACATTCAAAACGGCACTGACAGAATCCTGATGAGTCCAGAAATACGAGCAGATAAACACCCATCCTACACTCGCTACACTGGCTCCCTGTCTCATTCTGGAGTGACTATAAAGTCCTACTACTTACCCATAAATGGACGTGAACCTCCCTACCTACAAGAACGCATTACTCCCCAAACCTCCAGCCCTGCCCTGAAATCTAAAAGTAGCTTGCTCCACTGGGTCCCCAACACCAAGCTCCACACCACGGGCCTTCTGCTCTTATGGAACCGTCTCCCTGACAATGTGAGGGCAAAACAGACTAGACTGAAAACCTTTTTTTTTCCCAGGAAGGAGGTTTTTTTTTATATTGTGTTAACTCAGTTATTTCCTTTTAATCATGGTTTGTTTTAACAATTTGTATTACTATAAACTGGCTGAGATTCTTTTGAATGAAAATGCATTATTATTACAGCTTCCCCATCAGTAACGGGTCGCCGCGGCGCAGGGGGTAGAGCGGGTGCGCTGGGAACCGCAAAGTTGGTGGTTCGAGTCCCGGCTGCCCCATGTCTCAAGTCCCTGAGCAAGACACCTAACCCCTAATTGCTCCCCGGGCAAAAATGTAAAAAAGCCATGGGTTTAAAGTGTAATGTAAGTCGCTTTGGATAAAAGCGTCAGCTAAATGACCTGTACTGTAACGTAACTAGCATTCACACATGTAGTCACAACTATGGGAGCAATGCTGGCTAATTGCGCAGGAATTCGTTAATAGGGCTAAAGTAAACAAGGATTGAACTTATTTGTAAAATTTTCTTTTCTTAAAACCAATATGGACTTGCTTTTGTAGGGTCCACATGTAGTAATCGGACCACTCACAGGTTTACACTATTTTATATTCTCAAAAAACACATTCATCCAATGATGAAAAAGCAACTATGCAAGATGCCACCTGCCAATCAGGACCCTAAACCAATTCACATTCACGCTATCCATAAAAGCGTACGGATTGGCAAGCATTGGGGTTCAGTGTCTTGCCCAAAAATACTGGACATGCAGATGAATCACTTCATTATTATAGAGCCGTAAGGCTGGGTGACCGTATGAAGTAGGAAAACTGCTGGCTAACAATAATCGTAAATACAGTAAGATCACGTCAGCGGTAATGACTTCCGTGTATAGCCACATTTTGGGGAGAGCCCATGGTGGATTAGGGGTGACAATATCTATTTCAGTTTGGATGGAGCAGATCATTTCAACAAATCTGACCCAGTTTTAGTGAACTTATTCCATGACGACCAAAAATTCAGACCAGAAGGCAGCCTTACAACACTTTACACTTAGAGCTGTTACCTACCCAAAAATGAATACATCTTATAGAGACGGTTTTCCCCAGGGCCACTCAAACACTGCATAAACCGCCATTGTTATTCAGACAATTCTCGAGTATCTATTGATCAAGCCAGACCAGCCAGCCCTTTACACTTTAAGAATGTCTTAAGGACATCAAAACCTGCATGACCAGCCACTTGTTTAACTCAGATTATTTTATTAGGCCTAGAAACCTCTTAAGTCAGTTCTGATGTTTCTCTGGATGGCATTGCTGTGGTATCCACTAGCGTCTTGAAGAACCTTGAGAGTCATTTTCGACCAGGAAGTGTCCCTTTAACCCTTGTTTTCATATACGTAATATTTATTAAAAATTAGGCATTGCCAGCCTCAAAGTGATCCAGAAATTTTAGTTCAAGCATTCGTTACTTCTAGACTAGATTACTGCAATTCTTTATTATCAGGCTGCTCTTACAAGTCTTTGGCCTCTCCAGTTGATTCAAAACTGCTGAGAAAAGGGCCCATATTATTGCTGTATTCGCTTCTCTGCACTGGCTCCCTGTTAAATGAAGAATAGAATTTAAGGTACTTTCTCTCCCCCAAGGCACCATCTTATCTTAAGGAGCTTATAGTGATATATTTACCTCCTATAGAGCTATGCTCCATGAATGCTGAGTTACTTGTTGTTCCTAAAGTCTTGAGCTGGTCTGAGCTAGAGCCTTCAGTTATTAAGCTCCCCTTTTGTGGAACAAACTTTCATTTTCAGTTCGGTGGGGGAGGGGAAGGGGCAGACAGTCACCTAATTTAAGAATCTGCTTCCTCTTTGAAAACGCTTATACTTAGGGCTGGCTCAGGTCGACCTGGACTATCCCTTAGATAAGCTGCTATAGGTCTAGACTACAGGGGCACTTCCCAGTGACACTCCGCTTCTTCTAGAAGCCCTTAGACAACATCTCTAATGCACATCACTAACTTTGTACTTAAGAGGCTTTGTGCTTTCCCTCCTCACAGGTTTCTGTGGATGGTGGTTACAGCCAACTGTGGTGACTCTTGCAGTGGTCCTGCCATCAACCTAGCTTACTACTGAATATTTTAATAATTTCAGTCATATGCATTGAACATACTGTACATCTTTTAGCCGTTTCATTCTGTAAACAGAGGTATCGAGCTGCTGTTTTTTTCCATTTTGGGAGAGTTTCTGTGCTGATGTGAGGTCATGGGACAGAATGTTGCATGTGTACAGATTGTAAAGCCCTCAGATGCCAATTTGTAATTTTGAGCTATACAAAATAAAAATTTTAATTGAATTGTGTCATTAAGGTTAGGGTTGAGTTGAAGGTTTGAGAGAACATACTTTTCATACAAGGAGGCATATGCTATACATCAGGAGAGTTCAGAAAGGGCAGCTTAGTGTTACAGTGTACTGAAGGAATACATGGATAATTTGGATGGGACGAGGGATGTCAGAACAAGCAAGAAAGAAAAACAGACAAGATCAAGGCATTACATTATTTCTCTTCTTTTTAGTCACTTAAGACAAACGGAAAATGCTTTCCAGGTTAGAAAAAAAACAAAACAAAAAAACGTAGTGGGCCTTTAAACGCAACCAGACCTTTCATTCAATTTAATTTTTTTTAAAAGTACGTTTTGAGACTTCTCATTTCTAATGCTAAAGTTATGCTTCAAAAATAACTTTCCATTCTAGTGAAAACCAAATAAATCATTTTACTTTAAATGTACAATATTACAACTCATTCAAGTAAAATGCATCAATCTGGACCTTTAAAAGCAACATTTGAGTCACAATTATTAAAGAACGTTGTGCTCAAGTTACTTTTTTGCAGTGGTAGAATGTAACTAAATGCAATTAGGATACTCAAGTAGCCTACTGTGCATAAGGAGGACTTAGCGCGAGTATTTCCCTTGCTTGCAACTTTATAAATGCCCTCTTATTTAAACATTAAACAACTAATCATCTGAAATACAAAGTATTACACTTTGATTTCACAACGCATCAAGCAAAATACATGTTGGCAGAAAAAAAGAAAAGGCGTTAAACTTCAAAGCTTAAGACACACTTGTAACATTCCTGTAACTGAGGGTTTGGTGACCGCTCACCTGTTTGCAGTCAATATATTGTTTCTTGGTGGCGACTGGGACCTTGGGGATTAAAGTGGCAGCTCCTCTCCACGGTTTGTAGACTGCAGCTTGGGGTGAGTCAGGTCCATCTGTAACCTCAATATCCCAGCAGTCCGGAGGCTCACGCTCCATTGTTGCCTGGAAGTCCTCTTTCCAGCTCTGAGTGGGAGGAGTATACCATATAACAAAGAACATCAGTTGGCCATGGCTTCTGCTTGTGGTTAGGGTTAAAAAAACAAAAAAAACAACAACAAAAAACATACTGCACTGAATTGTGTCCAGTTGGGCTTCAGAAAAGAAAAATGGATTTTAGTCTTACCTCCCTGGAACGTTCTTTTAGTTTTGACTTTGATGGGGCTGACGGGAGCAAAAATTAGAAAGAAACGTACATGTTAGACTAGGTATAGTGACCTCAGTAATAAATGAACTTCATGCTTGCAAGGTTTTAAAACAGCATGACCTGATCTCTGCTAAACCCACCAGTGATCAGACACAATCATTGTAAGCACAATCATCTTACTGCTATTGCTGCTTGACCTCAGTAACACCTCTGGTGACTTGTTGGGTGGACAGGGAAGACAACTGAAGTACTTGCAGTTAGACAGCCTGGTCAGCTCTTCTTTGAAAAGCTTAACTGAAAAAAAAAGTCATTAAAAAAAAAAAAGTTAGATTGTTTGCGAGGCATTCTTTCAGCACTTTGCAGCTTTAAGCTTGTTATATTGCAGATTTTTTTTCAAATTTACTTTAGGTTATCTGGCAGGCAGAGGCAGACTGTTCGCATCAATGCTTGGTGCACAAAAGCAGTTTATGGAAAAACTAAGAAAAGCTGCTAAAATAATATTTCTATAAAACCATGGATTGCTTACTTTGTATTTCCTAATAAGCAGAAATATCTAAAAGTGTATAGTTGTATACTACTATATTTGTGGAAACCAAGCGTTTTATTTCTTTAATTATAGGTAAGGCATGTAGAGGTTTGCATGTACATTCTTTAGTATCTATCTGAGCTAAATCCTTCAGATGATGAAAGCATTTATGTTTTTTCAAGGTTGAAAATGTTAAAGCCCAACCGAGGATTGTACAGCCAATCTGACAAATGACTGAGAAAACAAAAATGTATATGAATATTTCTTAATGTTTCAAACAGTGCAGGAGAAAGAACCAATAAAACAGTCTCCTAAAAGAGCTGAATGTATTTATACCTGAACAAATTCTTTAGCTTAAAGCATGCAGGGCTAGATTGCCAACAACAATTACATACGAAATAGAAGTTTAATAGATTCAGATAACATTTTACACTTAAATGCACTCCGTATGCAATTAATTGAAAGCAAGCTGGGAAAATCCAAGGAATGGTGTTCCTTTTCAAATTGACCATGAGCAAACGTATGGACGCTGTCGCTACACAATGGTAGGGGAAACACCGCAATAGTCAACCCTAATTACCATGATTGTAAAAGCACATTCTATCTTGCGATAATTACAACTACTGGAAATCCAGCAATGAGTAGCAACAATCTAATAACCCTGTGATATCCAAAAGCAGTGTTATTTTGATACTGGTGCTTTTATGCTCACATGTGGATCCAGCCACTGGCTTGTCTTTCCCCTCTAGCAGGTCCAAATAGGCCATGGCCGCTTGCTCCATCTGCTCCTCTAAACTTTAACAAACAATGAAGATAGAAGAAAGTTGATCAATGAGTAAAGAACCCATTCATGCCAAGTAGCTCCGAGGAGATGGCGCTCTTTGAAAACCTCAAACTTGTTAGGGCTGCAGCAGTAGGGTTTTTTTGGCACAGAATTTGTGTATGCTCAGTTGTTGCGAACTTTAGTTTTTACATAATGTTCAAAATTAGTGAACTACATATAATATTGTGGCGCAACTGTGGCTCCGAAGCTAGAGCGGGTCAGCCCTCAAATCAGACGATTGGTAGTTGAATCACTGATCTTCCGGTGTGCATGGCTGCATGACACGAGTGTAAACGTTCTTTGAAGTTTTACAATACAAAGTAAAAAAAATAATAATAATAAAAATGCATTTATGCAGTATTTCACAACTTTTAGCATCCATAATCTCAGGTGAACTTTCATACGGAGATGTCCTTGATAAAACAAAATTCAAAAGACTACTTTTTCTCAACACAACCACATTTCAAAAATTTTGCACACACATTCTCAAAGGGATGCCGCGATTACTTCGACTAGATCTTGCTCTTCATTCACCCACACTCAACCATTTTCTGTATTAGCTTCCCTGTACTAGGTCAAGAATACAAATTTAAGATCCTCACCTGTGAAGCACTAATTGGTCAGGCACCATTTTTCTCTTTACAGAGTTACTTGTGGTTCCTAGAGTCTTAAAATGTAGGATGGGAGCCAGAGCCTTCAGATATCAAGCTCCTCTTTTGTGGAACCGGCTTCCACATTCAGTCCGGGGAAAGACAGCCAACTCATTTAAGACTAGGCTTAAGACTTTAGTCCTGCCTGACACCCACTGCTAACATTATCATCATCATCATTGTTATTCGTAACATTTCTCTTACAATTACCATTTCTAGTATTATTATTAAACTGTATCCACTGCAAGTATCCATGTTTTGAGAGTTACACAGAGCATTATAAGGTTGTCCAGAAATCTTTCCGTTGAATCAGATTCCTTTTCTCACCAAATCACCTTCCAATATTATAGTCACTTATCTTATCACAACAACGTACTTTACACTGTCATCATTGCATCCTATACCTCCCTATGTCTGTGTAGATAAGTTACCAATCACCTCAGTCCATTATTCCTCTTGACCCCCAGCAAAGCGGCAAGCTGATTCAGGCTTTGCAGCTGTTGGGATGCAATGTGTGGCGCCTGGTTGCTTCCACTCAGCAGGTCTCTTCTGACGTGCTCCTGCTGCATGCAGCGGAGAAGGTGCTGGATTTGCAGCACAGTACTCAGATGCTTCCTCTCCATCTCTTCCTTCAACACCTGCTCCTTCCGAATGGCCTTATTCTGTGCCATCAGCAACTGCAAAGGCATAATTAATCAAGGAGCAGTTTGAGAGAATTTCTTAAACAGGTTGTTCTCTAAATCTCAAAGATCAAAACATGTCTACTTCTATGAGTTTTAAAAGTCTCTTAACTGCTGGATGTTGGTGCACATATCACAAGTTCATAAAAAAAGCATTTAAAATGTGTAGTAAATGTCTTGCTAGGGCAATAGTATCTCTTTCATCAACTTGAGCAAAATGATGCAATTACGATTAAAAACTATAAAAAGGTTTAAAAAGTTATTGTCATTGTTTAACAACAATGACATTCCGTTTGGTAGCCCCAAGTCAGCCAGTGGCAGCTTTATCAATTTAAAAAGGAAAAGTTCAGGGTGCAAGATAATTTGATTATCAGCTTCTTTCACATCTGTCCAATACTCATGTTTGGCAATTATCCATGAAGCTATGGCCTGGAGTGTATTTGCTTTGCACCACCTCATTAGAAATATTACATTATTAGCTACTAATGGATGTTGCTGCAAATCTTTTAAAAAAGCAATTTGGGGAACATTTCATATAAAGTAAATGTACAGTCTCAAAATATCCATTACTGCAAAGCATGCATTAACAACTATTTTATTATTTAAATAGCAGGATATATACCCAGTGGGGTCTTTTCAAGTTTGGTTGGGGCCCAATCTGAGCTGCTCAGCTCAGTTTATTTTTCATAGTAAGTCTACCCTATTTTAGCCCCTAATGTCAAGTGGCTAGCAATGTAGTAGGCTTGAGCATGCTAAAGACATGCCTCGCTTTCCTTATCAGGGTAAATCAAGAATAGAATTGAAGGTACCTCTATACAAGCCAGTAGCTAGTGAGGTACACTGTTATCTAAAAAAGAAGCTTATAATACCATATTGCCTTTCTAGAGCTGCACTCCAAAAATGCTTGGTTAAAGAGTCTTAAAAAGTAGGCTGGGAGCCAGAGCCTTCGGTAATCCACCTTCTTTTTTGTGGAACAAACTTCCACTTTGTCTGGGGGGGGCTGACCGTTACCTAATTTAAGACAAAGGTTCAGACCTTCCTCTTTGACAACAAGTATAGTTAGGGCTGGCACAGGTTAGCCTGGACCAGCCCTCAGATAAGCGGTTATAGGCCCAGACTGCCGGTCTTCAGACACACTGAGATCCTCTTTCCCCTCATCTCTCCTTCTATAAAGAATTCACAGCTCATTAATGCCTATCACCAATTCAGCTTCCCCAGAGTGTGTTTTCTCGCCTTTCAGGTTTCCATGGTTATATCTGGTCCTGCCTTATGCCATGGCCCTTCTGACACCTACCACCACAGACGCTATTATGTGACGCATTACTACCTAAATCTACTAATTTAGTAGTATGTGTGCTTTCTCGCCTTACAGGTTTCGATGAATCCGCTATCACTATTATTAAATCACATTACAGTCATCATAAACTAACATTACTGACTTGGCTTCTTTCCTGAAGTCTTCGTGCTATGGTTATATCTAATGGTAATAGAGTTTTTTCCCTGTACACAGGTGTGTGTGTGTGTGTGTAATTTTCGGCTATACAAAATAAAATGAATGGTAATTTGCAGTTACCAGTTATATCTGAAAAAAAAAAGGATAATAATCAAGAGTCTATTCCAAAATATCCACCAGTGAAAGTGCATCCTTTTCTCAGGTTTTATAGCAGGCTCTCGAACAATATTTTTTTTTCGTAAAAATTAAAACAAAATGGACATAACCTGTATCCCCACTTTTGACATTGGAGAGCTTTTACTTTTAAGTTTAATTTAAATACTTTAATTTAGTTAAAATAGTACTAGATTTTCAGATTAGAATTCCGCCCTGCCTATAATAACCATGAGTCGTGTCCAGTTCGATTTTTTTAGCAAATCAACACCTTCAATTCACAAAAGTGAGAAGAGACTCACAACATTCAATCCCAACCCTAAAACAATATAAGCAGCATACTTGACATCACTTTACAGCCCCCCCTCTCCAAAAAAGAATGAAAATCCAATTGCAGTGGACTTACATTCTGAGTCAAGGCATTCAGGCTTTTGTGGAGCTCCTTTGCAAACGCCAGATTATGCAGGACCTCCTCGTACTTTTTTACAGCCTCCTGGAAAACAAAGAAAAATGAGCAAAACCCCTAAACACAATCCACAATCCACAAAAGAGCTTATATTCTTGGTTGCCAATACATAGCCTGATCTTACCATCTGATCATTGTTAAGTTCCTCACCCCAGTTCAGCCTCTTTCTGTAGTCTTCGAGTTTCAGCTATGGGTTCACAAGACAACAAAAAGAATTTGCCACCAATCCATTTTATAATCATTAAGTAGCATTTAATGTCATCCATAACCATCCTACCTTCTTTTTCTCCAAATTTCTGATTTTGTGTTTGAGGCAGATGAGACCATCTACTATATAGGTATCATAGCCATAGTAGACAGTAGAGGTCTCCAGGTTGAGCTGCAGAGCACTCAGACCACCTGGTGAGCATACCTCTGAAAATACATTTTCAGCAATTACCAGGTTCTCCTGACTTTCTGAGCACTCGGATTGGGGGGTGACACTCGGAGTAGGGGAAGGAGAAAGCTGCACCATGTTTATCGCCACACTGGAAGGAAACATTGTGGATAAAAAGTAGTTTGGAATCACTGAATGAAAGTTTATACATTGGAGTGATACAGAATTATTTGCGAGTCAAACTTCTCCTGTGTGTTGGGTTAACATTCATATTTGCAGATTAAGACGTTAGGCAATACATTGACAAAACCAAAAGTTGTTCACAATAGGTTATTTGAGTCCATATTTTAATCAATTCATTTTCAAACGGCAATCGTGAGTTCTACACGAAAGAAAAACACCACGCTAAAATAAACGGAGCTGGCTGACCTATCCTTGACTCGTGCGCGTTGGATCCGCAGTGGCAATCGAAAGTCCTGAAAGGGATCGAGCCCTTTCCAGCCGGGTTGTTTAAACACGGAGGCCGCGGCGCCATCAGACACACCTTTAAATAGCCTGTGGCCTCACGCGCACTGTTCTGAGGCGGCTGCTTCAAGACGACAACTTCCGGTTAGGAATGTGTCTGATGCACGCGCAGCTGATCCTACACAATACCTGTATCACTTCAGTATGTTGTCCCAACTGTGTCTAATGTCTGTGGATGGAAAAGTAAACTTTTGAATGAATTTTGTGCATTATATCTCTTTACATCCCAACAGCAATCAGTAGATTAAAAAAGTGAAAAATGTGGCTTCAGCTGGACAGTACAAGTACTTTTTACAGAAGCCATTTTGACTGCTCAAAGTAAGAAAAGCAATCTAATATTTTACTACCCAGATACTGCTACGTTTATAGAGAATTTTAAGAGTAAGAGAGGAGGGGTAAGGCAAAGGCAAGTTTGTGACACATTTCAACAACAAAGCAATTCAATGTGCTTCACATAATACCATTAAAACCACCAAAACATAAGACAAAAGAAAGGGAAAAAACAATCAAGAGCATTGATTAAACCATTAAAAACAGACATTAAAGCAATAAAAAAGCAACAGAATGAAGGGAGGAAGGAAGAGAGACAGAAGAGGGCCAATAGCCGATCGGTTAAGAAAGAAAGACAAGGGGAGAGGGGGATTGAATAGACAGGATATTATATTAGTGTTCTCAAGTCACCGGCCAAGGAGGTGGAGTGGCAGGCATTTTGGACTCCAGCCTATTAATGAAGCCTAAATTGTAACTCAGTGGAACGTGTACAGTGCACCAAGTCTGTATTCTGAATTTCTCAATTCTCTGAGTATTTTAGTAAAGTCCTTGAAACAGATAAAGGAGTTATTGTTCTTGATATTAATGTTAATATTGGTGTCAACGATGATAGCCTTGGTTTCTCTTATTAGATTTGGTTGGGTGTAAGCTACTTGTTTTTTTAATCACACTTCGACATTGTTCTATATACTATGCAAATTGTATCATTAGCTTCCACCTCTTTGCTGGATAGGACATTTCTCTCATATGCATAACATGTTGATCATTCTGTACAAATGACATCTATTGCCCTCTGACCATCCTGGTAGAGGGATTCTCCCCTGCCACTCTCAATAAAGTATACTCCTTCATGTGGTCCATAAAGCACATCCCAGTCCGTCAACTCTTGAACAACTTCATGAAATCCCTTAGGTTAAGTGTATTGTCAGCGAAGGTGGGATTGGAATTCTGATTGGGAACCAGCGGCAGAATCTATGCAAAGGCCCTCACAACATTAAAATCTTTTGAAATGGGGTGTCCAGTTTAGATATTCAAATCCTTTCAGCCCTCTTTGTTTGAGGTGTAGTGGATATTGAGGTTACTCTGTCTGTCTGTCTCTGTCTGACTGTGGTTTGGACACAGAAATGCACAGGTGGTGTAGAAAATGTTTTACTCGTAGATAATGTGTCTTTATCCTTGTTGTGGTGTTTCATCTGTGTTGAGTTAATCTAATTAGAATGGTGTGGAAGAAACGGGCTTCTATAGTTCTGGGAATGCATAACTCTCAACAGAGATGAAATAGAGCCATCCAAAGACAGGGTTTTTAACCAAATAGATTGAGTTACCATGGTGACTGGGTGACAAATAGACGTTGAGTTACCATGGTGACAAGGTGACTGACCTTACTGTCAAAAAGAAAAACTGAGAGCGAGCAGAAAACAGCCTTATTTTTGTTATATGTTTCATTGCGTAAGTGACGCCTTCCCTTTTTTGTCTTCCCAACTTGCTGTAGCCCATCTTACCGTCACAATGGCGTTTTGTGTGGCGAGGGTTGTGTGGCAGTAATGTTGCTGCAATGTTTTAGTTTAATGAGAAATGGTCATAAATGGACTGAATTGTGTTGTTTGTATTGTTAGTGTTGGGAGCCATATGAGTGCCGCAGAGAGCAAGCTGTGTCTCCTCCCTGTGCAGGTATGCGTTTCCCTTTTTTATTTTGCATAGTTTTCTTTTTGTACATTATTTCATTTCCATGCACCTTTTTGTTTCGTCCACTTGGTGTCGCTGTTGGTTCTGTTGCACGTTCTGTTGCATGTTTGTTTTTGGGGTTAAAGTACATTTGTTTAACTTGAATTTAGATGAGCCCCTTTTTAGTACAGAGACAATTGCATTTTGTGTGTTGAGGTGTGCAGCACTCATGAGACACATGAGTGCTGCAGAGAGCTGTATCAGTTCAGGTGCCAATAAACTGGAAAAAGACTATCTTTGGTGTCGGTTCAATCGCATCCCTGAAATCGCCTGCAGCGGGTGGGCGCATTGCTGGAGTCCCTGAGGCAGCCTGAGCTCACCGCTAACCCAGGGAAGTGTGTAGTGGGCCGGAGGGAGTTACGGTATCTGGGGTACCACTAGTGGGCAGGTGCGACTGCAGGTGGTCAAAACTACAGCCATCACGGCCTAAGACAAAAAAAAAAGAGGTGAGGCGGGTTACTACAGGCGATTCATTCCGAGCTTTGCAGATCTGACCAGCCCCTTGACCAACCTCACCCAAAAAGGTGCTTCAGATCTGGTCCAGTAGTCGGCGCAGTCCCAGGAGGTGTTTGAGAAGGTGAAACATGCCCTCTGGGGGAACCACTCCTCCATACACCTAACCTCTCTCTTCCCTTTCCTTTACAAACTGAGGCATCGAACAGAGGGCTTGGGGCCGTTTTGTCACAGAAGGTGCGGGCAGTGGCCCGCCCTGTTCTCCATATCAGTCGGAAGCCATCAGAGAGGGAGATTAAGTACAACTAGAAAATGCATTTCCTGCTGAAAATGCGTTGGAATGCAAAAAGCTGAAAGCTGAAATGAATATTTAAAAATAGCTGAAAATACAGAAAATTGAAGGGAATTTGAATGCATCTGCTGAAATTACAGATACTAGAAAAGCTGAAATTAATTTCAAATTGCTGAAAATACAGAAATGGGAGAAGCTGAAAGGAATTTCAATAGATTTACTGAAAAAGCAGAAATGAAAACAGCTGAAATGAATGTGAAATATTGCAAAAAAATACCGAGATGAATATTAAAACATTGCTGTTAATACAGGCATAAGAAAAGCTGAAATTATTTTAAAGAACTGCTGAAAATACAGGAAGTGGGGAAGCTGAATTTCAATAGATTTTATAAAAAATACAGAAGTTGCAGGAGCTTAAATTAATTTTTAAAAGTACAGAAATAACAAAAGCTGAGATGAATAAAAAGAGGTTTAAAATGTCTTTGTAGTAATATTAGCAGTAGTATTAGTTATAGTTGTAATTGTGGTATTAGTAGTACTAGCTGTAGAAGTAGGTTTAGTATCAATAGCAGGACAGCTGTTATACTAATGCTATTAGCCATAGTAGTATTTGTAATAACATTAGTAGTAGTTGTAGTATTAATAGCAGTAGAAATACTAGTAGTATGGTAGTAGAAGTATCAGTTGGAGTACTAGTAATATTCGTAGTGGTTGTAGTAGTATTTGAAAGAGCAATACGTATTTCAACAAAACCGCTTCATTCTGAGCTTCATGGTTAAGGTACAGATTATCATTGAGGCTTTTATTTTGTAATGATGGAATTGGGTGAGGGGGGGTTGGGAGACAGAATGTTTATTATTCAAACTAAAAAGTTTTTAATTAATACGCCTCATCACAAACATTACAGTAAAAATTCCCTCCATGGGGCTTTTATTTTGTAATTATTGGACTGGGTGGGGTGGGTGTAGAGGGAGGGAGGGTGAGGAAGGGAGGGGTGGTGAGGAAGAGATAGAGGGAGAGAGAGAGAGAGAGGAGGAGAAATAGACAGACAGACTGACTGAGTGAGTGATTATCAGTGAGTAGAGGTCAGGGTGGAGGAGGGAGGGGGGGCGAGTGTCTTTATCATATTGGTCTGTTGACAGAAAGCATAGCTGCATCATGTGACTCCACTAATCAGGTCATAGGAGCAGCTGTGAGTCACAGACAGAGATACTGCAGTGTGTGTGCGAGTAACCACGGCAACGGCGCACCTGGGCTCATTAACGAGCTGCTGCAAAGGGCAGACACAGGACAGCGAGTTACACAGAATCCACACCTCAAACAAATATCTACCAGCGCAAAACTATAACAGCTATCTAAAAATACGGCGTTTTTACGAGACCCAAGACTCTACCGAACGCATGGATGCGTTTATGGATCCGGTAATAAATATGGCTCCTGTCGCAGTTTACAAAACGTGTACCTTCTGGATTTTTTGAAAAATATGTCGGCAGATTTGTATTGGAGCCTATGGGGCTTTTAGCAGAGGTTGTGTCACTCTAACACTCCTTAAGCCAAAACTAAAGAACTCTGGGATTCCATGAACACATTAATCCAATCAGCACAACCATGCCCTCATTAATCTGAAGAAATGAAGTCTCAAAAGTATATACTTTGGCTGCAAGGACAGAAGATATTTTTTAAACCAGATTCTGACGCTGCCCGACACACTCCGGGATCTCAGATCTCCGGGTCTCACTCTAGCAGACGCAGTACACACTCATGTAGAAGTCAGAAACGGAGCGAAGAACTAGTGAAACATAATCAGTGATTATGAAAAAAGTACAATAGATATCATCAAGCAGTTTTTTCCAAAAATAGTAAAATAGTTGAGACTTGTGTCAACATTTGAAAGTTTAAATGATGTCTGTAGCTGAAAAATTGGCGAAGCTGAAGAATCTGAAAGTTTAAGAAGTTTAAGTATCACAACTCAGACAGAGACCCAAACGCAGATATGGGGAATAAGGGTTTTAATGAAGAGGAATTCGGGCAGGCAGTGTCGTTGTCGGAGGCAGGCAGGAGTTCGGTGCACGGGAGATCAGGGGTTCAGAGGTGGCAGGCAGTGTCGTTGTCAGAGGCAGGCCGGAGTTCGGTACACAGGACGTCGGAGGTACAGAGGTGGCAGGCCGTGTCGTTGTCGGAGGCAGGCAGGGGTCAGTACACGGGGGATCTCAAGAATCGACTGGAAACTACTGGAAACTACTGGGATATAACGCTGGTAAGACCTGGTGAAACACACAAGACGAACTGGCAACAAGAACAGGGAGAAGACACAGGTTATATGCCCAAGGGATAATTGACAAACAGGGAACACCTGGTGTGGGAGGAGACAGGGGAAAAACAGGTGAAAACGGGTGAACACAATTAGGGCGTGACAGTACCCCCCCCTCCTAGGGGCGCCACCTGGCGTCCTACCTGGTGCCGTACCTGATTGACGGGGGTGGCGACGGCGAAAGTCGGCGATGGAGGGGTCCAAGATGTCCCTGGAAGGAACCCAGCAACGCTCCTCCGGTCCGTAGCCCTCCCAGTCAACCAGGTACTGGAAACCCCTGCCACGCGGTCGGACCCTCAGGAGACGCCGCACTGTATAGACTGGGCCCCCGTCAACCATCCGGGGAGGCGGCCGAGGAGGTGGGGGGGGGAAGGAGGCGACAAAGGGACACAGGTTTAATACGGGAGACATGGAAGGTGGGGTGTACTCTAAGGG